AAGATGGGTTAATCATTAGCTGGGGGTAACATGTGTCAGGGCTGACTGTAAACAAACTGCCACAACACAGGACTTATTCTTGAGAAGTTTAAAGACTAGACCATTGAACAAAATCATAATAATACCAATAAATAAGAAAACGGTGGACTTGAGTAATTCGCATAACCCTGCAGTACTGACAAGTCTTCGCCTGGCTTTCTGCTTTAGAACTAGTTCTTACTAGTGCTTCTTTTAACACCCAGTATTCTTTTTAAAAAATCGGTATGTACCTTTCTTATATCCTTTGCCTTATTGAATCCCCATATTTCTGATGCATAATTTAAAATACTACCATTTCACGTATCAAATACTGCACACCTGGTGGACACATTAAAGTTATGGTTTTTTAATATGCTGCTAATGGCAAATAATGCTTTTTTACCCTGTTCTGCTATATGTTTTTGGGTTTGACAAAACTTACCATTAAAATTAAAAAGTAATCCGAGATAACTAAACTGATTCACCCTTTCTAAGACAACGCCGTTATATTTCCATTTCTCTTCAGCCCTTAACTTACCCCCATTGCTAAAGACCATTGTTTTTGTTTTTGCTTTATTAACCGTTCCACTTTTGTGAGTATAATTTCAGGGTATCAAAAAGTTTTTGTAGTCCTTCAGAGGTTTCTGATAAAAGTACCGTATCATATCGTTTTGACCAATTTAGCGGTACAGGTGAAATCTGACCTCAATAAAGAAAACTACGCGGTTTCAATGTTCTACCCTGAAACGGTAATGGTCCCCAATTAACTAGAGAAACAGACTGTATATATATACTGTATATATACTTCTGCAATCTATTTACGTTAATAATCTTATTGACAAAGTATATGAAGGCTAGGGCCAAGCAGACAACTTTGAATTGCATTAGGCAAAAGCTAAAATAACTGCCAAAGAAAGTCCATTCAAATTCAAGTTTTAAGCCGGTACAAAAGAAATCGGATCGATGACCAAATACACAGGTGTGCTTCTGGCTCGTTAACTCCTTTATGCTCTGTATATATCGACACAAGGTTAAGGTGAAATCAGCATTTGTTTGATCATTGCTAGACCACTCGTCTAATTTTTTATTCTCTTTTCGTTTCTGGTATTGTCAGCTTGTAAAGAACCCTGTTTGAAAAAGATAACTTTGAAAACAAATAAGCAACCTGTTAACTTGCGAACAAAATGTGGACGAACCTGCTATCGTTTTGTTGTATGGTATAGGTGCACGTTGATCTAATGTCAACACGTTTATTTACGTTTTTGACGGCAGACTGCAGGCAGCTTTTTATTGTATTATGTAATTTTAGTGTGAAATTTGCGAACAACGCAATTGTTATCTGAAAGATACATATTTCCGATCTCCTTTATTTAAATTAACAACAGACAATTTTGGATAAATCAGTAAACTGCAGACCAATACAAACAATCAAAACTGTATACAGACAACACAATATCTGTCTGTACGTGAGAACGTTCAAAGTTATCGTAATTTGTGGCGGGAAGATTTTAAACCCTTTGACGGTAGAGTGAATTAACATAATTATATTTTTATACTAACAGACCCATGTCAGCGTCAGGTAACTTTGTACACGATGGATATAGTGTAGGTATTAAGCAGTATACATGTAGGAACGCACCGTTACATTCTTTATTCCGATGCTGGTTGTCACTTTGAGGATTCATGTCAATTCACCGCATAGAAAAAATAAGAATAATTACTGATGCATCTCTGAAGATCTACTTTACAGATGTCAAGTATAATCCAAGCTTTCAGCCCTTAGGTTTTCTTCGGGGATTATGCATAATTCTTTTTTTCCAACGACGTAAAAAATCTCATCAATCAATAAACAAAAACTCCTCAAGGTCTGTTTTTAATTGTAATCTGCAGTTCGTACAGTGCCCAAAGTTTGTTTCAGTAAATCGCAGGAATATTTTTTAAGATTCATACAAAGTCAATTTTTTGTCACAAAAACCAAGCAAATGCCCGCATATAGTTTCAAGTACGGTAGTATAACTAAGAGAATTACCAAAAGGCATTGTTGAATTTTAACCGAAAATGATGTTTGAACCGATTTGTTTTCTGGCATTCTAAGCTGTATGTCAATGGGGCAGGAAAGTAGGTCACGGAAGAAGGTTAAATTTACAACCAAAAATTTAAAGAAAGGAGCAGTCTAGAGGACCTTTATGGCTGATCGAGTGATCTATTCAGTTTATCCCTTGGCATGTCGAATTTATTTGAGTCATATAAGAATCTTGTAGAAGTGGTTTACATGTGTTACTGGGAATCCACGCGCCACCGATGCTCGGTTCATATGTACCTTTAACTAAGCTATGATGTTTGGCACATATAGATTAGCCTCCCCTTCATTCACTCGGATACAGTAGATGCACTAGAAAATTTAGCTAGAGGTGAAACGGAATTTTCGGCTTGAAACTTGAGGGGGGGGGGGGGGGGGCCTGTACCCAAATAGGGCAGTAGGCTATTATGTCACAAGATGTACTTGGAGCTGTGTTTCAAGCTTAATTACATGTAAGACCTTTGATTAAAGATAAAGTCTCCAACCTGCAGTCTTACCTTTAAAATGACCAACAACATAGTAAATTTGCCGTGATAGTATAGAAAAGTAGATTGTAAAATGATTGTTTGTTCCATAACCTTCAAAATCAACTATCTTATTGAAAGTAATATTGTTGGGTGCTACATAGATTTTTGGGATTGAGGTCGCCTGTTATTAATTTACTAATTACCAGTCAAATATTGACAACAAGGCTAAAATGTCCCTTTTTCTCACCTCTCGCTGACTTTAGCACTTTCTATTCATATCACGGCCCTTATGTCAAAAGTGACTTTTCATTTGCACCCCTAAAATAGTAAGAATCAAAATATCACGCGTATGTAGGCCAAACGCTTCAAAAACCAATATAAAATAGCAAAATCATATCCACTTTCACATTAGCGGATGACGGTCATCTTGCCAAGTTAAACATTTTGTACTACAAAATGCAGCGTTCGTCCAATTTTTGGTCCCTAACAAGCCTACTATTTTGAGCAATAGTGTATTTGTACTGTAACAGTGACGTGAACAAAATCGAATTTTCAAAATTGAAACCCAAATTCTATTAGATAGGGCCTAAGTTTTTTTTTTTTTTTTTTTTTTTAGGTTGTATACATAAAAGATCATTTCTGTGATAATTGAATGAGTTACCGGTGGCTGTGTTATGTCATATTGAAAGAATTCCAATTAATTTTATTCCATAAAATCCCGTTTTTTCTTGGCACTCTTTAAGTTTAAGCGGCCAGCCAGTTGCAGTAATACTTTTAAGTATTAAAAGTCCCAGGTAGTGTTTGATGGTGCGTCTTTTGCAAACCTTTTGCACGATAATGCACTGGATGTAGTCTGGGCATGAGAGAATGTCATTCATGGTTCCGGTGTGGCGTGAACCGCCGTAAGCGTGAACCATCCGTTCTGCTCATGCGCACTAAGCGCAGGCAAATCTGAGGGACTTCCGGCGTGTACAGTCCGTCTTTATACAGTCGTCAATACATCATTAGCCTTAAATAAACACGCGCTGTTGAGAACATACTGCAAATTCAAACATAATCTTTAGAAGTATTCATATCTTATAGATGTTCACCTCTACTGCTATTTCTCTCAGGTGGCCATATCAACACACTAGCCTAGTAAAATCAATAGGCCTACTAAAATAGTAGCCAGCAGCTAAATAACAACGGCCCGTCCACGGTAGGTTCATCCATGCGTCGAACTGTAATTTGACGCTGATTCTCTATCAAAATTATCAGTTAACACATGAATTTCATCCCCATCATAGTTAATATGTATAATGAGGTAGGAAATGAACTAACTGAATATAACAGTAGGCCTACAGGTGAATAACAACAGACCATTCACGGAACGGCTCATACACGCTGCTGCTGCGTGTACAATGGGTCAGGACGGGTGGTTCACGCAGAACGGACCGTACACGTGACACCGGCATCTTTACGCATTTTTATCAAACACGCAGCTAACATCTGACAGTGGCTGGCTACGGTCCGTTGTAATTTGAGTGTCTCGTCTTCTTTCACAGCGCCATCTATATACACCAATGTTTACAAAGCATGGCGCACACCAGCTTGAACCAGTACTTGCAGCAGGTAAAATTTATCTTTAGCAACCCATGACACGCATGGATTTACAAAAACTTTATGTCAAATTAAAGACCTACTGTCTATGACTTCATTCGTCCGTTAATGGTTGTGCATGTGATACATTTATATTTAAGAAACTTAATAAAGTGTCACACTGCTGTGTAGCTACATGTACATGTACTAGTACCTGTAAACCTCAAATCTCGTCTTGTTCTTCAAAATTAAGAAAATAAATAGTGTATGATAATATGACTGCACTGCTGTTCACAAATAATTGTTATATGCAGTATGGTCTACATGATGCCAGAATTAAAGCACCACACTTACTGCTAGGAGTCTCCACACATCTTATAGATTTTTATGTACAGACACAGATGTGTCTGTACATATAGCTATCATCTGCGTCTGTCGTCGTCGCCGTCGTCGCCGTCGTGCACTCNGTTTTTTTATTATCGACTTCCGATGCCTGAATTTCTGTTCAGTCGGTTCCACTTTTCATCCATAAAATCGTATGATCAACAGATTTCTTCTTTGTATCACACATACCTTCTGTTTCTCTGGTCCTTTAACTTAGTTCTTGACCACTTTAGAAATCGTGTCTTCAGCTAATGTAGACGTGAGCACGAAATTCTGACACCATGTTAATGGAATAAGTCAAACACGTGGATATAACTGAACCGGAAGTGCTCTGGGAGCGTTTATTATATAACAAGTATCAATAAGAGGGAGCATCCCTTAACATACTCAGCGTGCGCAGACTCGCCTCTCCAAGAGAGCACACAACCACAACATTCGTGCTCACAACCACAACACAACAATAAACTTTCATCAAAAATGGACAATTTCGATATGTTTACTGTTTTAATAAAAGGTCCAAATTGTCTAAACGATTTTGATTAAAACTTTGAACCAGTGAGAATGGATGTTTGTTGGTGCATCGATTTTTTGCAAGCCTTTTGCATGATAATGCACTGCCTGGGCATGAGAGAACACTTAACTGTTCTTTCGACATCTGAACACGTTTTTATAAAACACGCAGCGAACATCTGAAAGCTGTCACGGGTCTTGCCACGGTCCGTTGTAAATTGAGTGCATCGTCTTCTTTCACAGCGCCATCTATATCCACCAATGTTTACAAAGCATGGCGCACACAAGCTTGAATCAGTACTTGCAGCAGGTAAGTTTTATCTTTAGCAAGTCCTTGGCAAGCGTGGATTTACAAAAACTTTACGTCAAGTTGATAACCTACTATTTATGACTCAATTCGTCTGTTACTAGTTGTATACTTGATGCATTAAATTTATAATTTTAATTCTTAAAAGAAACAAAGTATCACATTCACACCGCTGCTGTGTGCTACCAGTAAATCTCGAAACTCGCGACTTGTTCAAAGTTAAGAAAATAAATGAACAATGTATGATAATAGGAATGCACAGCTGTTCACAAATCACTGTTATATATAGTATGGCATGAACTTAACATACTCAAAGCCCACAGTAAATTATGCAAAGAGTAACAAAAAATACCGAAAATTACTTGAACTGGATTTATAAAAAATGTATACTACAATTCCTTATAATTGGTTTTCACTTTTATTGGTTAGTGAACAAGTGATGTAAAATCACCATTTGATCAATAAACTGGGTGCATAAGCGCCTAAAATCCACATAAAATTGCTTTAGACTACAAATAGTATTCTGCATGATGCCAGAAAGCACCACATTTAATTAGCCTTCACACATCATTTAGATGTTATTGCATCATGTTAGACCAGTGCAGGTATCTAAGGTATTTTTACGTGGTCTTCTTAGGTTCAACTATGTTAGATTTATACACCCAGTTCATAAATCATTTGGTGATTTTAAAACGCCCCTTAACCAACCAACCGAGGTGACTGTTGAACATGTTATTAGTACCTTAACTTGGGCCATTTGTGTGTACTCAGTATGTCATCTGTATATAATCAACATATTCAGATAACTAATATTAGATTATTTTATCATTGTAGGTTGAAGAGTCAATAAATGCAAAGGATGGCTTGTTGCTTGGGGTAAGGAATATTTGTCAAGTACACTCTGTAGTTTACAATAGCATAGACACTTAACGATGTCAGAAAGACTTAATGGTCTCTGTTAAATTATTAAAGATATTCTGTTTTAAAACTATTAACACTCATTAAATGCATATATTTGGATTTTTTGTTTGTTTTAGGTAGCACTAGTGGGCTGGATTTGATCTTAAAGTGCAATTTAAGATAACTATAATTGATCTTACACGATTTTAATCATTACAGCAGTTGTCATAAAATGGACTGAATCTGCTTTTTAAGTTCAAAAATGATCCAACATCTACTTAAGTGGTCAAGCAGTTTCCTCCCCTCACAATGGGAGATACCTTCCCTCACAATAGAGGACACCTCTGCTCACAATATAGAAGCATGTGTAAGGGGAGACAACTTAATTGGCTGTTTGACCAGAAATGGTCTTACTCATGGTTTAAGATCAAGTAAGACAATCTGTGATCTTAAATTGCACTTTCAGACCAAATCTAGCCCACTAGTGTAGGTGCTTGCTAATCTGCTCGTTTTTAATTTCTAGTTAAAAATAATAAATCCTTAAACATACATCACCAAGAGACCATGTATCGCTGAGTGTTGCACCATACTTATATTTACCCATACTTATTTTTGTTTTGAACATTTAAAGAAATGCTGAAACAAAATATAACTCTTTACAGGAGCTGCTTTCTTTCAAGCATCCACACATTGCGAACTCGCGACTACAGCTGGAAAGACCAGAGGCACCTTGTGAACGCTTCTTTGAACAACCATGGGATGAGTTAGTGGCTGCACATCTGAGGTTAGGCTTAAAGAATGGTACAAGTGAATAAATAAATGAATGAATGAATGAATAAATAGTTAAAAGGTAGAATACAAAAGGAAAGTTTAATACAATCTTAAGTTGTCATGAAACTTTTCTAAAAGGTCATTTTTCTGACTTTTATACCATTGCCATTAAGTTACACAATTTTCAAAACTGTAACTCTTTGAAAACTGTTTGAACTTTTTAGGCTTGAGTTGGATTTTCCTATTGTATCTTTTTGCCATTAAAAAGCATTCTTTTCACTCTTTCAGGTGTACTTGGGCGGTGGCCAACCATGACTTTGTGGAAGCATATGGCTGCCAGTCGCACGCTGTCTCATATCCTTTAGAAGTGTTATGGTCATATGTTATCAATACTTGACTTTGTAAGATAAATATTTATGTGTGTGTGTGTGTGTGTGCGTGTGTGTGTGTGTGTTTGGGGGGGGGGTTAACATTAGGATTTCTGATTTCATACTGGATAATTCAGTTGATTGTTTCAGAAAAGGAGAAGGAGTAAAGGCGGTGGGTAAAATTTGCTGAATTGAACATTGAAGTTGAAGGCTGAAGATAACCTCATGCTTAATCGTATCATGCGCGCTAATAGAATGATCTAGCGCATAATGGGGTCAGGCAATGACGCTCCCTTAATATAAGTAGCAATGAATCTCATTTTAGACTACCCCTCTACGGGAAAATTGAGCATGTGCGGAATGCGCATCAATAAGCTCAGAAGATTGTTGTCGCCATAAAATGTCGTTTGACTACGCCAAACTTCGTTTTATTAGTGCAAAATGACCCTGGGCCAGTTTTCTGTTAAATCCTAATGTTGTCATATACAACTAATTTATTCATTTTGTTTGTAATATTCTTTAGATATGTTTGGAAGATAATTTTGAGAATTATGTTTTGATTGACCGAAATTCATGTTCATCTGCTGTCATTAAGTTAGAAACAAACAATTGAAAAAATGTTGTCTTCTTTCCCTTAACAAAGCATTTACAACCTTCAACAAGATATTTCAGGCTCAGAAAGATGAGAATTGGAGTCTCCCTGTCATGTATGCTGTCTGCCTAGATCTCCGGCTGTTTGCCAACAGTGTAAGGCCAAATTTCCATAGACACCATCGGTCTAGGTAGATTGATTCAACTTTGCGGGGACTTTTGCTGATTGCAATCAGCTTAACTGAATGATAGGCCTCTTGTTTCTTATGTACTCAAATAATCACCAGCTTTTTTGTAACGACTCAATGTCAGGAGGGGGCATGTTAGTCAATAAAGCTGATTGCACTCAGCAAGAGTCCCCACAGAGTTTGATCTGTCTATGTAGACAGATGGGAATGGGGGCTAAGTAGCAACACCTAGCCAAAAAATAAATTTGGCACAGCAGGCTCAAGTTTATTAGATTGTTTTCTATGGATTAGACGAGTGAACAATATTTGAGTTTTTACTTTACGTTTGCTGACAAGTTTATGTAGTTGAAACATTATTAGCTTAAGGCAGTGTATGCCTTCAATAAGTGAATACTGTAATTCTTATTTCCTGTTAGATGATTGGGCATAACCACATATAAACTTTCATAAAACATATAACAATCTTTGAACTATATCTACACCAAGTTGATGAAAATATTTGTTAAGTTGTAATTGCTGTGTGGAAATATTAAAAATAAAAAAACAAAAATTAAATATGTCTGGACATACAACAATATCTTGCTCTCTGGATATCATTTTGCTTATATTTATTTTATTTCTAAATCTTAGTTTTTTTTATGAACTTCTAGGCTGACATCCAGTTGTTGAAAAGGGGGCGTGGCAAGCCTGGGGACATGCTGGAGAAAGCTGCAGAACTCTTGATGCAGATCTTCAGAGTGTGTGCTAGTGACAAGTCAGTATATAATAATAATAGTAATAATAATAATATAGAGTTCTTTCAAACCATGCTCCACATTCATATTGGTGGTATATACATAAATATAGTCTTGATAATTAAAATTCCATCAAACATCCTGAATCCTCCAACATCATTTGAGAATTGGTTTTACAAAATATTCACACTCAGAGTGCAGATATAAGCTCATGTACAACTTAATTAATTGAAGAAAGTGTAGTTTAAAACTATTTTATGGCTGATCAAATGATTAATACAGTTTATCCCTTAACATGTCAACTTTATTTGAATCATATAAGAAGCTAGTAGAATTGGCTTATATGTGTTACTGGGAACCCACATTCCTCAGACACTGGGTTCAAATGTGCCTTTGATATATAAAATTGCATTTTCAGTCGTGCTGCAGTAGAAGATTCTAAAAAGTGGGGAATGTTAAATATAGTCAATCAGCTGTTTAAGATATACTTCAAGGTGAGAAAGTTCAGCATACAATTATTAAAACATGCCCAGCATGTTCATTTTGTTTTAATATATACAGAATATATAAATTAATTGTTTTCAATTTAGATTCTCACATGCAGTGAAGAACTTAAAGCACCATATTTTTACAGTCAAATGGAATCTTTTTCAATGTCGGCCATTTTTCAACACAGAAATGCCCAATTTGTTATGTAAAACTTGCTACATATGCTAAGGGTGGAAAGGAATTTCTTTTACAGATTAACAAACTCCACCTGTGCAAACCCCTCATCCGTGCTATAGAGAGTTTACCAATCAGGGACAGGTTCAGTATTTCACAGATGATCACATTCCGGTATTATGTGGGAAGGAAAGCCATGTTTGACAGTGATTTCAAAACAGGTAACAATCATATTTTAATTGAATGCGGGGCCTGTTGGGTTTTGGGGGGAGGGGGGGGGGGGGGACAAGCAATTTTTAAATTAAAAAAAAATCGTCTTTGACAAATACTATTAAGAAGAGCAATGTTTGGTATTGACTTCAAAATGTTTAAAAATTCTTTTCTTTTTAAATAGGAAGAGGGGATTGTGTTGTTGAAAAAGTAAAGGTGTATAACAGGGATTATAAAGGGCAAACAATATTACTTAAAATAGTGAAAAAAAACATTTTTTGACATTATCTGTTTGCCGCTTGTATGCTTTATCCTGAAGCCTAGGTGCAATTTATGCTATTTTTTAAATATTTCATTTTGTTGATATTATTATTCTTTCTCCTGCAGCTGAGGAATATTTGACTTTTGCATTTGAGAGGTGTCACCAGTCTGCTAAGAGAAACAAAAGACTCATCCTCATTTATTTGTTATCTGTGAAGATGCTTCTGGTAAGCTGGGTAGAATGAAGTGAAACATTTATTTGGCATAGTCTTAAGGATTACAGGCCTGCTTATACTTCCAAATTACATTTCGAAAAAGTTTTCATCTTAGATTTGCTGTGCAATGAAAGTAAAAAATACAGGCATACAATTTCCAGGATTTAATGTAATAATATAGTAATAATTTTTCTGCTCAGATGAATAAAACTTTTTTCCACCCTAAGCATTCTATAAAGGTTCAAGTTAACCATTACTGTGAAAAAATGTACATATTCATACATGCATCTAAAACAATCAACAGCACAATTTTAATTAATGTCATTTGCGATGCATCTATCTCAAACAGGCCAATAAAACTAAGCCTATTTCAGGGTCACATGCCAAAGATTGAGCTTTTGTTGAAGTATGATCTCCTCCAGTTTGCTGATGTGGTGAAGGCCGTCAAGTAAGTCAGTTGAGGAAACGAGATCATCTTTACATATGGAGACATCTTATTCCATGTTAATTATATTCTTTTGACAAAGAAACTATGCTTAGTCTTCACTTTTGATTAACTCAGAAATGTCAATGCTTACTGAAAACTCTTTGTGATTTTTTAGCCAAATTTCGACAAGTCATTGATAAATTGATTGAACAGGTTTCATTATTAATTATTACTTTTTGGTCCATAGTCAGTTGTCATTTTGGTTTTAGCAAATATTTTCATAAGATACCTTTATAAACTGGTTATTTGTTTATTACTAGCAGAATTTTCTTTGATATTCTGTGGCATTGCAACTCACAGTGTATTTAATTTACTAATCTTATTCACAAAACCAATTTTAGAGCTGGCAATCTTCTGAAACTCACAGAAGCCATGCAGAAACACGAGGTGTTCTTTATCAAGTGTGGTGTTTACCTGATACTAGAAAAACTGAAGATCATAACATACAGGAATCTTTTCAAGAAAGTGTGAGTATTATTATTTTGGTTTGTTTGTTCGAAAATATATCAGTGTGTCACAGGTGGAACTTTTTGTTTGTTTGTTTGTTTTGTTTGAGAACAATCTGTTCCATTTTGCATATGTTGTGAACACAGATTTTTAATTTCATTATTTTTGTTTCATTTGAGAACTTAGCTTTGACACAACTCTTCTTGAAATCCGAGTATAACTTGATTGATTAAAACATGGCTGTGCAGTGCCAAATCACGTATAAAAAAATGAAAATGTTATATATTGATATTATAAAGAGATGATATATTTTTTTGTTTTTTCAGTTACCTTATCCTCAAAACACATCAGCTGCCAGTAGATGCTTTTGTGGTAGCTCTAAGAATGATGCAGGTGAGGTTTTCTCAGATTTTCCTCCAATTTGTGTGCGTGAGGGTCTTTTTACATGTTGCCTTGTCAGCATCTTTGCCAAACAATAGAATTTATATGCATCTCTGTCTGCATTAATTTAGACACTTTGCTTGAGAGGAAAATGTGGTGACAGGATGGTTAAATGAGAGTTTTGATCAGAACATTATCTTTTTTGTTGTGATTGTCCTTAAGATAAAGTAATGAAGACTATATCTGTGTGCAATGAAGATCTCATGAAATGTGAATGTGGAGCTGTTGTTGTTGTTGTTTTAGGTGGAGGACATTGATAATGATGAAGCTCAGTGTATACTAGCCAACTTGATTTACGAGGTAAGTAACATTATTAAAGGGATAATAACTCTTCGTATGAGATCTATATTTCACAATAAAAACATTGTAAATAACTCATAGAAATATAATATATTCTGTTTTACAACAAAAACAGCAGTTATAGCTATTATTCTGATATTTGAGCTTGTCTTTAGACCACGTGACCTCCATTGATGGCTATACTCTGTTATAATCTCTTCAGAGGTTTTAACAAAAAACCAAACTTTTTAGAAAAAAAAAAAAAAAAAAAACAGGGACTAACTTTGAATGTAAAAATGGATTCATTAACCATTGGTAAGTATGGGGAAATTGTTGTTTACTCCAGGAAAATTCATTTTTTGGCCAAAATGAAGAGTTATTATCCCTTTAACTTTTTTTTTTGCTTTTAACGAGCATTGAGAAATAATACCTTGATATGTTCTGTTACTGTTTGTCTTTAGAACAAAATGTTGAATTCATTCCCTAAATGCAGGTGAAAAAATATTTTACTTAATATTGGATTTGTGTTCATTGTTGAAGGTTATTTTTTATCATAATATTTGAATTGATATTTGAAGCATGATTTTTGTCACCTTTAGAAGACCTTTATTGTAGACGACGTTACGCATACAATCACTAAATCATTTATTGTCTTATAGATAGCACAATTTGTTACAGTTTCGTTATCACAATGAACACCTTATCTCGTTTGTCCGTTGTGTACGTTGGACTCTTGTACAAATCTAAAAAAATTTAAAAAATGACATAAGTATGCGGTAAACAGTAAACTCATAAAAACTAATATAAACAAACTACAGTATATACGTTAAATAAAAAGAAATACATTTTACTAGTACTTACATTATATGCTATCTAGGGTGACCGACCGGTATGGTTGCTACATATGTACTGAATTCTCTATATATCTCAATACCACACACACACCCATAATCACGTGACTGATTAGTGTTCGTATTATAAAGAGTGACCACAAGGTCATGTGACATGGCGCACTAACATTCCCGGCTCCTAAATTAGTTAACGCAAACTAATTTAACTTAATTACGTTAGTGCACAGTTAAATTACAATATTCTATGAAAATAAACTGAACATCCGTTATGCCTTAATTAACTCTAAATATGTATTAATATGCCTAAACCTTAAATCATTACTACTCTTAAATCTTATACTTAACAGTCACCGTCACTTAACATCAAATAGAAAATGTCATAAGTCTACATTTAAATGCAGATATACATGTAACTGATGGTTAACAATCTTTGTCATTTGCGACCAGTAAAATAAGTTTGTTCACTGGCCTACGTAAGTTGGAATTTTGTGTTTTTAATAGTACAGTACGCACTAGTCTATTGTTGTCGATCTCTATATCCTCAATACGACCCATCGGCCATGCATTTCGAGCTACGTTATCGTCTTTTATGATAAACTCTCCGACTGAGGTTTCTTTGCTTTTCTTTCCATTTGTGACGCGTTTGATGGTTCTGCACGTATTCCTTACGCGATCTGAACCAAAATACGTTCGAAAGATACTGGACTTTTCGCCATTTCTTGCGCAGATATAAATCATGTCGCTGAAATACGCTTGATGGAGGTACGTTAACATGCGATCTCCCAGTCAAAATGTGATTTGGCGTACGACGACAGATAACACACGTTGACAGCACTGAACGCACTGCCGTATTACCTTGTATGACCCAGTACTTGTTGTTGAGACTGGCGAGCACATGATTACGGCCTGCATGTGCGAGGATTGTGTGTGCCTCACGAATCACTATTGTTGTCACATGGCATCTGCGAAGTAAAATGATCTGATGCTTGGCATGCTCACGCTCGGCTGTCACCCGGCTCCGTGTTGATCCCGATTCTGCCATAGAAAGCTGGTTCACTTCAGCATTGTAAATTCCCTCCTCAACCAGTTGTATGAATTTCATGTCCTCTTGTGACATGTCCTTTTCGTCGGGATATGACGGCTTGTGATCATTAAACTCAGGTTCCATCATCTGCATCACAGTGGCAGGTGTGCATAATTCTTTAGAAGTTTCTTCCACCATTATTCGGTTGCATGAAATGTGATCCACATCACTGGAATATGCTGGCCCATATACTGTCCAACCATGTCGTAGCTGCATGGCGTACGGTTTATTACATGTACCATCTGTAGACACAACGTTCAGAGGTTCTAAAGCTAATGGGCAGTTGTTACCTATCAGAATACCGATGTCAACTCCTTGCTGAAACTCTGGTATCTCAGAGGCAATATGACGTAAATGATCCCATCTCTGAACTATTTCCGGCGTTGCGATTTGGCGATGGTCGATTGGAATAACATTTCTGGTAAATGTCTTGGGCATGTCGATTCTGTTGTTTCCGTTCAAATCTGTGATGGCCAAGCCTTCTACCAAAGTGCTATCCACGCAGTCGGTTCCTTGCATAGTGATCAGCTTGAGCCTCGTTGGTATACCACTGGCTTCAAGGTTTTGGAACAAATCATTGGTTATAAAACACCCGCTGCTGCCATTGTCATAAAAACAGTAAGTGGTAATAACTTTGCTGCTTCCTCTCTGACTCACCTTCACCGGTAGTACCCCATGTAAAACTGTCGAGTCTGAAGAATCGGTAGCTGCACAGATCGAGTTCACTGTAGTATTATTGGTATTTACACTCACTGTTGAGTAATCTCCTGTCTTTTTACCGTCGTTGTTGGTCTGGCTACCAAGGAAGTTCGAAGTTGGAAACCCTCTATGTGGAGTGAAGTCGGGTGTCGCTTATGGCACTTCTGGCATACACGTTTCCCCAAACACCCCTTGGAAATGTGGTCGGGTCTATAACAGCCAAAGCAAAGACGTTTTTCTTTTAAGAATTGTCTTTTATCAGCCATGTACTTACTTGTAAACGTTGGGCAGTCATCCAGGTCATGGTGTTGCTGACAAAGCGGACAGTTTAATGATGACCCTACGTAACCTTGTGACGTCATGGCAAAGCTGGTCATTTTCATCTGGCCCTTACCTTGCTGAATCGTAGCGTTGGCAGGGACATGTTGCTTAGTTGCCTTTCCGTAGATTGGATCATTGGCTGCGTCTGACGCTGAAGCTATGAAAGTAACAAGATCCTGAAACTTCAAAATTCTATCCTCTGTATGTCGTACCATAGACACCTGTTCTCGCCATTTATTTTGTAAATAAAATGGTAATTTCTGAACAACATTGAGCATATTTGGAGGGTGATCTAAAACATTCAAATATGACAAACATTTCATTGCATTACAACACTTTGTCAAGAACAAAGACAAATTTTTCAGACCTATACAATCATCTTGTTTAATAACAGGCCAAGCATTGACTTTATTGATATAAACTAAAGCAGTTTTGTATGGATCCCCATATTCTTTATCAAGTAAGCGACGAGCTTCTTGGTATCCGGTCTCTGGATCAAACAAGAAACAACCACTTACGATGTCTTTGGGTTCACCAATGAGATGCTGATCTAGGTAATAAAGTCTGTCAGAGGGAGAAGCTGTGCGCGATGCTATACGAGTGTGAAATGCCGTCATGAAAGTCCTGTAACTGATCAGATCGCCTGAAAACTTCGGGATTTCTGGCTGTGGCAGAGAAAGCGCGGCAACAAGCGTGTTCGTAGAAACCAAGTGGCTTTCTTCAGTCATGCTGCTCGGATGCGTATGGGCTTGGTGTGGTCTAAATTCCGGAGCATCTACGTTTAACGGTGCGCTGCTCGGGCGTTGCGTTTCACCAAGGTTGACTGGGGCTGGGTTTGAATGGGATGCATCATGGGAAGAGGTGGGTGTGGCTGCCACATGCGTCGTGACGTCATCTTCTGCATAAACGCGTTCACGGGCACGGGCTTTTGCTATTTCACCTTCCACTCGTAACTGTTCATTCTCCATCATCAATCGGTGTTTTTTCTGTAGTAATTCTTTTTCAGCGGTGAGTTCCGCGATCTTTGCTTGTTCCTTTACACGCGCTGACACCTCAGTATGTGCTGACTGTGAAGAGCGAGAACAGTGTGACGATCGTGACCCGCTACTGTGGTTACTACCCTTGGCTGAACTGGTACAATCGGCAGTTAGTGCCTGTTCTGCCTCGCTGGTCCAATTGAGCACATGTCGTCTAAACTCTAGCATAGAAATTTGTCTTTCTTCAAACGCATGAAGTTCCTTCGTCATTTCATCCTCAGAAAGTTTTTCACAGTATTTATTATATGCAGATTGGTACTTTGCAAATAATTCATCGTACTGTTCCAAATTTGTTTTCACGATATGAAGGTTATTAAAGTCAGTCATAGCATTCACTGTTTTGTTACGGCATACTGTTACTGAGCGTAGCGCTGCACTTTTTCTGTCCCTTAAAGTTTTAATGGTAGTTGAGTCTGTCATAGACTGTGGTACATCTGCGTTTGTTTCACCGTTCATGATGTCAGTTTTCGTAGCAAAATATTTGTACTTATATTGTAGACGACGTTACGCATACAATCACTAAATCATTTATTGTCTTATAGATAGCACAATTTGTTACAGTTTCGTTATCACAATGAACACCTTATCTCGTTTGTCCGTTGTGTACGTTGGACTCTTGTACAAATCTAAAAAAATTTAAAAAATGACATAAGTATGCGGTAAACAGTAAACTCATAAAAATTAATATAAACAAACTACAGTATATACGTTAAATAAAAAGAAATACATTTTACTAGTACTTACATTATATGCTATCTAGGGTGACCGACCGGTATGGTTGCTACATATGTACTGAATTCTCTATATATCTCAATACCACACACACACCCATAATCACATGACTGATTAGTGTTCGTATTATAAAGAGTGACCACAAGGTCATGTGACATGGTGCACTAACAACCTTGGACAGTTGTACTCCCTAAGGAGCATTGCATGCAGATATTACGTGTATTATTCAGTATTGCAGAATTTTTCTTGGAAATCACAATCTTACACTTGTTATTTGTTTATCTTGATAATTGTCATTTGTTTGCAGGGTAAAATCAAGGGTTATATTTCCCACCAGCACCAGAAAGTCGTTGTCAGCAAACAGAATCCATTTCCACCACTCTCATCATTAACATGATTGGATATCAGGATCACCATCATGCAGATATTGTTACCGAATATGGGCTGTCCTTTGTCAGGTGACCATATATGGGGAGGCTTTTGATGAGACATACCAAATATGGGCACTCTCCCTGTCAACACTACAATATATGGAGGTGGTTTCCACTAACTAGAACATTAGTGAAGACTGTCATGAAGATACACTAAATATGGACAGATCTCCAAAAATTGATTATCTTATCTCATGTGGAGACATTTATTGAGATTAGTCTTAAGTTACAATGATCAAATATGGTAGTTGAATCAGTCTCATACAGTGTCAGCCTTTTAATAGGCAGTTAAATGTGAAAGTTTGTGTACCAAATTTGAACAGGGCGGAGATGATTTTTGCATCAAGAATTTAGAATGCTCTTTGAACATGTCAGTGCTTTGTGGGAGGACAATATGTGAAAAGACACATGCAGAAAATTTCATAAGAAGTTGCTTTAAACCTGGAAATGTAGGAAAGGGCAAATCACAAATCTAAGATATTTGATCACATCCAAGATCACTTGAAGTGGTCAGATGGATCAGATAATTTTTACATCAAAAACAATCTCTTATTAGGATATCTCATTAATATTCAAGTAAAGATTTTTATTCACTTTGCCAAATGTGATTCTTAAGGAAGAAACGTTTGGAGAATCGTGTTTGTATTGTGATGCATACTGAAAATTCAACAATAAACACATATGGTATATCTCCAGTATATTGTTAATTTATTGTAACCTTTATTTGTTAACCATAACACTGACACAATTCTGCCCCAATAAGTGATGTCTGTTGAATTAAATGTTACCACAAAAATATAATATCACAACTCCAGACATGATTTTTCCCAGTAATTTAATGAGAAACCTGATCTTTTTTTCTTGGCAATTTCCACCTTTAGCAGCCCACAGAACCCTAGTTGCAAGGCCACTGAGCCATTTTTCGCACTATTGTCTTACATCTTACAACTGGAAATTATGTCTGCATCTCCATTCACCTTGATTGTGTAAGTAACAAGATCACAGTAAGTTGACTTAGAAAATGCTGATGTTCAAGTGTCTGCCAGAGATTATTGCTTGTGCTCAAAATTGGATATCAACCTGGGTTGCCCACTTGAAATACATGATTTTATTTTCTGTCATGCATTATCGCAAATATCACAGTTTCAAAGAAGGTGAAATATCCTATCCTGTATCCTATTCTTCAATGCAGAAAAGCACTACTTTTGTAACTATGGGAACTTGGCCAGAAAGAAGGCCCTCTGATATTTATCAACACTCAAACACTCCCTTCTTTAAGATCTATTTTACTCCCTTCTTTAAGATCTATTTTAATCTAATAAAACTCACATCCTACACACATTTAAAAACAAACAAACACCTATTCTATATTTCCATTCTGGTATAACCCTAGTTCTCCTCATTTTGGAACAGTATTTGTTCAATAAACTTCCCTTTTGGTATACACCCCAACCAGTGGGGCAGGGAGAAAAAAAATGTGAAATGCCATAGTAGACGCACTTAGACAAAACTGAGAACCAGTTTAGGACTAGAAAATGTCACTAGATTTTTTAGTAAATTATTGAGCTTAAGCCTGACATTTTACTGGCTGGTGGGCATCAATGCAGAGAGAGAGATGACCAGAGAAATACAGCTATATCAAAAAATTTTGAGCATGAACTAAATGCAAATGTTATAAGAAAAATTTCCATGGTTTTTGTTTAGTGCAGTTTTATAATATTTTTACCAACAAATGATTTTACTTAACTGATCAGGTAATTTTATTTTACAGATTAAAAGGTGACCACTGTGTCCCATACAGGTTCATCACTGGTTAAGCAATCTGCCTGTCTTATCACTCGTTTTTGACCTGAACCAGTTCCAGTCTAAGTTAAATCTGAACACACCTGACAATTCTCCCATGTAAGTTTCAGTCTAAGTTATATCTAAACACACCTTCAAGCCAATATCCCAGTGGGTAACAATTCCTATAGGCTACCACAAATATATTAAAATATATACTAAAATATACACTATCAAAACATTCTATATGCCACAATATGCCCTGAACATGAGTATATCTGATCCTTTCAGAGTAAGCTGCACCTCTTGGTTGGCTGCTATGAACAGCACAGTTCCCCTCTGTAGCTGTAAGGCCTCGTCTCCTAGAGTTTGGTTCTTTCCCTCTGCCTCTCCCTTTATGACCAGGACAATGCTGGCGCTATCCATACTTGGAATGGTGTACTCTTTGATATCTTGGGAGAGCTGGAGGGTAAAAGTAAATTATTCACTAAGATGTGATGAAAATTATAATATAAAATGTGATTCAAGGAATCGGATAATTACACAAATGTTTGGATAGACTGACTTACTTCTATATTTGCATCCTAAATATGGTTAATTTCACTGCCATTCTTGCACTTACATGCACAAACACACAAACACTGTCAAACATACTGATAAACTGCAAACATACTATCATTAACTTCATACACACCTCATATTTATCCACAGCAAAATCGGGGATGTTTGGTTGGTAGTGTGTGATGTTGCTGTCTTTACTATCCTTAATGCTGTCAAACAGGTTTTCTTTGGCAGACTTTGGTTCATAGATGAGCATGTCGCACAGTGTAGGAACATCTTTAAACTTTGGGGTAAGCCCAGCCCGTACTACATTGTCTGAGCATGCCATACATTCAATACAATCTGAAATATAAAACGGCATCATGAATACAACTTCTTCAAATTTCTGTTATAATCAAACTTCTTCCCCTAAAAAAACAACTGATTTCTCATATATAGCCATGTATGAAAAACTTAAATGATGACAACTCTTCATTTTGGTGGGAAAAGTGCCATAAAACAGAATTCCCTTGGGTAAACGATGATTATCTAATACTTACAGGGCATTCTGGGTTAATGAATCCATTCCGCCATTTAAGGTTAGTTGATTGACTAAGGAGATTATTACAGACTAAGGATATTATTACAGATTGTGGCCACCTATGAAGGTCCATGTCATCCAATGGCAAGCACAGATTTAAGAATAATTGTGACAACCGCCTTTTTGGTGGTAAAATAAAATTCATTATATTTCTTTGTGTTGTTTACTATGTATTTATTATGGAATTTCAAATCTCATTTGAAGAGATGTTCTCCCTTAAAAGTAAGAAAATGTACATGAATTAAAAATATATATTTTATTTAAATCTACCTCCTTTGAGGTAAGCATGGGGCAGGTTAGCTTCCAGGAACATGGACTCCCCAGGCTGTAGATTCATAATGTTGAGGAAGTAGATACAGAAACAGCCCACGTCTCCTGGAAACTCCTGGTTCAGACGTAACAACAGTTCTCCTTCCACATCACTCACATCTTCTTTGGCAGCAACTGGTGCAGAAAGTAACAAATGTTAGTGTGTATTGAGATGGAATATAAGTAAACTGCTCAGTTAAAATATACACGTATCTACTATAGTATGGCTTCACACTGAAATATGATGAAATAACATTACTGAAAAGGAATATAGGCAAACTGCTCCAATAAAATATAAATGTTTTACTATGTACAGTTTTACTCTGAAATAACATTTGTAGATGTGATCAAACAAATAAAATAAACAATCTTCAGACTTTTTGATAGTCTGAACCAAATATTCACCTCTCTCCTGAACCTTGCTAATAAGTGCCTGTAAGTTTGTCTCTACGATCTTGGGGTCACATGACATCAGCGCAGTGAATGCCTGTTTCAGAGCAGCCTGTTGTGCTTTCCCAGACAAGGCCGAGATAACTCCCTGTGCGTTCTCCAAGCCTATCACTGACTGGAGCTCTGGGATTGCTGAAATACAAAAAAACGAAACTGCTCAGATTTCATAGTTTCTTGATAACAGATGCTGATGTGCAGACTTTTGTATTTCTCAGTCCGTAATGACAAGCATTTTCTAGTTAAAAAATGCATAATTCTCTTTGTGTGTGTTTGTGGAGGGGGGGGGGGGGGGCAATTTCTCATCATATTTACTGTAATTGGTGATCTGTTTTACATTATGAAATATTTCCTTTTAATCTCCTTTTTTCTAAATCTCACTGTTTATGATATCAATTTATAACCATAGCAGAGAGTTACAACTATAAAGCTATGGCTCACTCTACTTTGTGCAAAATACTACACTTGTGTGATTTCTCACCTTTTAAAAACTTAACCAACTCCTCTATGGGCCTAAAACCACACATGCCTTGGAAGGGAGTTAGGGCTATTGCTATCTCTGGCTTGTGGTTGGGATCAGGATATCTGTCTGGGTGGTCTTTGTGGAGCTGCTCAGCATGGGACTGGAGGTCAAAGGTCAATACAAGGTCATTTCAAGGTTAACAAAGGTCACTGTCGACATGAGATCATCACTTGAATATAATTGGTAAGATAGGCAAAATACTGCTGCAGCATTAAGAAGGAATAATAATAATAATAATAATAGTGAGAAGAAGAAAATAGGTTATGCAGAATATGTGCACTATACAGACAATTAAATCTAAAGATTCTAAAACAATCGTCTCTGAGAGTAAAAAATAAGTACTCGGTACTTATTTTCATTCTTTTAATTATCAAGTGGGCAATCATACCTTGTTTGGATGTGCCTGTATTGATAAGGACATGTTCACTGAGAGGACTTTGAAGAGATATGGAAGTTGACCTTGAAATTTGTCCTTGACCTTGGATCCTAGGTCATCCTGGTTCTTTGCCACCCACTGTGCCAGTGTGGTGTTATCCATTTTGGGTCTGTTTAGAATGCATGGCCCCTTGTGGTGTGTGCCCATCCATAGCTGTAAATGAATTCTCATATCAATAACATTTTTTCATATTTTATTTAAGGGTTTCACTGTGTAATTTTGTTACCATGAAAGCAACTTTTCCCACATAAGACATTATAAATACTTTTTGGCAGACATGCCTAAGGTATTTTTTTTACCCATTGCCAGGTCTTTTTTTTTTTCATTTTTTTTCCAAAAAATTCCACTGGACATGGTAAAGAAATGACCACAAAATGGCCAGAGAAATTGCTGTGATTATCTCACAAAAAAAAAACTCTTTGTGAACCTGATGGAGCATAATACATACCTCAGCATATGTAGTCTTATCATCTAATTTGAAGTCTGAGTTTCCACTGAGGGACAGTTTGGCTACCTCACTGTCCTTTCCCACTTTACCCCAGTGGTAGGTCTGCACTGGACATTTCAGTGGGAATACTGCAAGAAAATATAATAGGGGAATGTAACAATTGTTATCAAATATCCGACCTAAAGCAAACAATTTCAAAAGTTTTTTTTTCTGAAAAAGTGGACCTTTTACAATGAAACCTAAATGTGTACCCAGATCAAATTTTACCCAGAATGGATCTTTTCCTGACAAAAAGAGCCGTTCTTCTGAACCCCCGACCCCTCCCCTCCCCTGGCTACAGGCCTGAATATTGTGAATGCCAGTATATCAAATCCTTTAAATTCCATTTTATGTATTTCACATTAAAATTGTAAAAAAAAAATTAAAGCTGTAATAAAAGTCTATAAATGGAAACAATTTACTTCAGTTTGAATACTAATAAGAGCAAACTGTCATAAGTCAAGTAGACAATTAAAATACAAATACAAAATTTAATGTGCAACATTCTATTGAAACTCTTGTAAGAAAGAAGTGGATCATTTATACTTTCGAATTGATTTCAGTGAGTAATTTTATTTCTGGCAACGCACCACAAAATGTATGGTAAAATACAGGTTTGCTTATTGATGCTCTATATCCTTGCAAGATCAGCTGTATATGAGAGAATATTTGTGAGACTCTTGCTCATCCAGCAGACTCATAAATAAGTAGGATTTAAATCAAGCTTACAAGAAATGCTGCATACATGTACAATGTTGCTTCATGCCACCAAGGAGTTATAACTCCTTGATGCCACTTATTGTGAACCTTTATTGTAATCTGACCTAAGAGATGTCACTTATTTGTGTGCACTGGACTCTACAGATATGGGTGAACGCATCACGATAAATGGCATAGCTTGGTGCTGCAACACTACAAAGCTGCCTTAATTAATGTTTAATCAGCTGACAAACGAGTAAAATTTCAACTGATGCTTGAATTACACAGTGAGAGCAATGTGACTTGGTTGGTTGATAGTAGATCCATTACAGAACTTGCACGCTCACATGCCTTGTATGAAATGCAGATATGACGTTCCTTGTGTCATCTTTTTACTAGCTTATAAATGAACCACAAATAACGATATTCGGCTTAGGATCAGTGGGCATTCGAAATTATCACCTTGTTATGAGCCAAATTCCAAAACTGTTACAATGAATTACTACGGTTTTGAACCCAATCTTGCTTCACACATAACTCATTGTGACAAATAAAAACAGAATATCTGCATAACGCTTTCCATAGTGACAGAAAGTGCATTTAAATCCCCCGCCCCCTCTTATTTACCTTTTGGGTTTGACATGGCGCCGGAAGTGCTTGTCACAGAGTTTATCTCCAAATTATGATAAGTTTCGTACTTATTTGCTTTTGCTTTAATAAATACTTAATGTTAAAAGTGGGCGAATAGTAAAGAAAATCAGCAAGATTTAAAAGTTAATTAAAAATTACACGTGCTTTTCATGTGATAGTTGGTAGAATATATATATATATTTATACCAATGTTTCGTTCATACCAGAATCGACTCCATTGTTTGGGAAGAGAATTTTCCCTGCAGTACACCTAAGTAAATTTCGTGTTGTTTTCTTTGCTGTTCGGGAGTCCAAAATCTTGAGGTGCATCATCTGGACTGAAGGTCAGCTAATACGTTATTTTACCCGGTGAAAATATTCAGATTGAAGGAAAGGACACAGAATTTGTGACCTGCAAGGGTGGGTAAGGCGAGCTGCAGCGATCACTGAACTGTGGTGAACGATGTCAAGTCCTTTTGCCTTTTTGGGTTTGAATATCGGAACACAAGGTGCGTTAAGCTATAAATATCGAGGCGTTTATATTATTTTGAAATGCAAAAGTATTGATACTTCACGTCTTAAAGACGAGTTAAGTGCTAAGCTTAAAGGATAAGAGAGTTGAGAAACAATTCGTTTATAATTTATTCAGTGCAGATTTCATACCGTTGACATTTTGCTTGTTAATTATAGCTAACAATTTTGCCAAGATTAAGAATATATTTTTGATTGATGGTTATGGTTTTTCAGTTTTTTTTTCTTTTTACATCCAGCTACGAGAAGTGATCCCTTCAAATGAGCTTTAATGTACAGTAAGATAAAAAGGTTATACACATATACTAGTATATATGTATAATATATATATTTCAGGAATGCATAGCGGCCAGCCCCCCATCCAGCCCCCTCCCCCACCCCCAGGGCACCTAAACCAAATGATGCACCCTGCCATGAACAACCAGCCCCTCCAGTTCAATATCAACAAGAACAAACCGCCCATGCCGATGTCCACAGAGGAAAAAGAACACCAGGAGAAGTTGGTGATGCAGATGCAGAAGATCCCCCCAGGGCCAGCTGGACCTCCTGGTCAAATAAAGGGTCCAGGACCCGTACCTGGAGCAGGTAAAAAAGAAATTTTAGACTCCCCTCCTCCCCCTTTTACCAGGTTTTAGTTGTAATTTTGGAGCTGAACCAGTAAAAATCTTTAATTTGTAGAATTACTGGCTGCCATTTCTGCTTGGGCCAGTATTTCTCAGACCCTTATGTCCTGAATGAGCAGTACACTGGAAAGTTTGAACTTACTGGCAAGCATGCAAAGATTTTGTCAAGATACGCTTTGTAAAAGTGTTTATTTATTTATTAAAACTATAACCTTTTAATTTACGATTTCTGTAGGTCTAATGGACATTAATGCAGCCAATACTAATCAGAGTCAGATGAACATGCACAGTCCTGGGGTAATGGGGCCTGGTATGCCGGGACCAATGGGGCAGATGGCGGGACAGATGACGGGACAGATGGCAGGACCAATGCAGTTTGGTCCCATGATGGGAGATCCCAATATGATGGGATGGGGGCCCATGGGATACGGACAGGTGTGGGCTTGTCTTGTAAAATGACATCTAGTGTCAGTCTGCTGTGTTCTTGTTACTTGAAACTTGGTGTTTATGATATTTTGGTAAATTTTGTCTCACATTCATTTAATAAAATTTAACATTAACTGAAATGATAATGAAATATCAGGAAATTATAAAAAAAGAAGAGACCTAAAAAATGCAAAGTAAGAAGGGAAAAGCTAACTGCTTTGAAGAGATTCTTAAAAAAATTTTAAACGCCAGAGTCTGCTTCATCTTCTTAGTTTGGTGGTTTTATGGGTCCGATGCCCCCCATGGAGATGCAGCAGAGGGAGCCACTGACATTTGAGACCTTTAAACTCATCCCTCCTCCTCCAGGTAAGGTAAACAATGCAGCATTCAACTGACCTAGTGCCTGCTTGCACACAGACTCTAGAAGTACAAACTACAAATTAAGAAATATAATAGTGGATGAAGAATACATACAAAACATAACAAGTAGTGTAGTATGGTGTTGTGTAATATGTACCTCATTGTTTTTATGAATTCACAAGAAGTTTTATATCATATCACTGTATTGATCTTTAAGAAATAAAAAAGTTATCATAATGATGCATCTTTGAAGATCTACTAAAATATGTAATGTCCTATCCAAGCTAGGGGCCAAAAGCCTGGATAGGACATTGTGTTTTAGTGGATCTTCATAGGTGCATCTTTAGGATAACTTATTCACAAACAACAATAAGCCTATTTCACCATGTATTCACCAGGTGCCCCTCCACCGTCCACGCGTGAGCGTCCACCAGGCTGCAGGACGGTGTTTGTAGGGGGTTTCCCTGAGAACTGCACAGAAGAGATGATTAGGGAGTTGTTTGAGTCTTCCTGTGGTAGCATCACCAGCATTAGGATGAGCAAGAAAAACTTTGCACATGTCAGGTTTGACTACGAGCATTTTGTGGATGCTGCGATAGCTTTGTCAGGTGAGGAGATCGAATTCTGAACTGTACCCTGATATAACTGCAATTTGAATAATCTTCTTTGTATTAAGTATTTAGTTCTGCAATTTTAATCAATGGGCAGCAGCATGTTTTTTTTAGAAAAAAAGATTAGCTATTGTAGTGTAAATGGGAGTCAGAAAAAGAAAATGGGACTGCCTAATTTACTGAGGGGTGTAAGAACATGTTTACATTCAGAGATTCTGAAAACCACAAACTACAGTGTGACTAACAAAAGGTGGAGGTATTACATTACTTATTCTAAAAGACATATATAATTGTGCATTTTAGTGAGTCTAGCTATAAAACAAAGCAGAATTAGGCAGCCTTTATAGTCAACAATTATTACTCCACAGGGTACAGGATGCAGATAGGCGAACAGACAGATAAACCCAACACAGGTCGCCTACATGTAGACTTTGCCCAGGCCCGTGATGACTTGTATGAATGGGAGTGCAGAGAAAGAGCCCTGTTTCGTGAAAGGCGTCACCAGGAGAGACTTGAAGAGGAGAGATTGAGACCCCCGAGCCCACCACCCACCATCCATTACTCTGACCACGAGGCTCAGGCGCTGATAGAAAAGTTGAAAGGTATTGATTAGGCTTGTCTTGTGTCCTTTTAATGGCTGTTGAGGAGTCAGCTGATTAATTGATTGATGAAAGGGATTTAAAAAAACTTTATAACAATATTCATGTGCATGAAATCTTTACTGTCATATTGCACTACAATATGAAGGTACTAATTATTTTTGTACATAAGTTATGTTTCATCAGACCAACAATATCAGCAAAATATCTAATGTTCTTTGCCTTCCTTTAAACACATTGCCTAATTGTTCTAGTGTGATTCTTGGAATCCAATAGAAAAAGCAGTACCTACTTTTCTTTTTCATTGGATGTTTTAGAGAGGAAAACAGTCTGTGGTTTGGAGACTGAAAAATTATACTGGGAGGATGCATGCTGTGGGATGACCTCAGAGTTGATTACATTTTTAAAAATGGTAAAATTCTGTAATGTTAATGGATCTGATACTTTCATTTATTCCAGATGATAGCACCTTCATTAAAGCCTCCGCCATCTTGGTCACATGGTTAGAGCGAGGCGATTGCAACAAGCGCACAGCCACATCTTTTTACACCATGGTTCAGAGCACGCACTCGCATGTACGTCGTCTTCTCAATGAAAAGCAGCAGCACGAAGAGGAAGTTAGGCAGATCAAGGAGAAATTCCGCCAGCGTTTTGAGGGCATTCTGAGGCAGAGTAAGTATCAAGCATTGGTTCGGTTTCAGGAGAATTATCTTTTCCCAGAAGGCAAGGGAAGGTAGAGAATGTAGTACAAATTAGAATTATACAATGAAATTGTAGAAAGTGCGTAGTTTGCTTGATGTTTTTTTGCAGACAAAAAGCCAGTGATTTTGACAAATACTTTATCGTAGCCAAAAGGGGAAACTTGAAATCAGTGAATTATGGACAGGATGCTCAAATTGTTTCTGATTATAAAAAAAATAAGGGATATCAATTTGATGGAGATAAATTAATTGTGATAGATGATAATTAAATCCTGCAAGTAGGCTGTGTGTTTGTCATTTAATTCCTTTAAAAGCAATTTTGTAAGAATCTGCTGCTTGTTTGATCCCCATTTATTTTGCTCGTAAATTTTGAGTTGCTGAGAAGGTAAATATGAATAAAAAGAAAAAACATTGGAAGATTTGATCAACGCAGTGAGTAGGCAGTGTGCCAAAGTCTTGGGGAAAAAATGGAAGAATGGAAATTGGAAAGTATGTGTAAGTGTGCGCATACCTGCACCCATGCCTGCATATGTGTGTCAGTGTGTGTGTGTGTGTGTGTGTTTATGTGTGTGTGTGTGTGATTGAGAGAGAGAGAAAAGAAGAGCTTTCATTTCAGAAGTCATGGTATGTTATATTACAAGTGCAGTAAGACATTTCAGGTCCTAAAGAAGATGACAGAACCTTGTGTGAGTTCAGTTCAGTTCAGACACATACTTCTATTTTTAGTAAGTAGGTCAAGGTCAGCCATCCAGGTGCCAAGGTCGCAGCAAGACAGCAGTAATTGTATTCATAATTTTACTTTTTCAAAATTCTTCTCATGATTTGGTTATTAGTGAAGCCACAAATACAACAGATTTAAATTTGAAATAAGTCCAATGAGCAGTCACTGTGATTTATTGCAAAAAAGATTTATTGTAGATATAAATTAAGCAAAATTAGGTAAATTAGAAACAGCAGTTGGTTCATAAGTACAAAGAAAGACAACAGCAAGGTAAGTAAATAGAAATCCTGGCTCACCGCCCTTATTATGAGGAGAATTTTGGAGAGTGGGGAGCTTTTTGTATTTGTGCATTCAGAGATTTCTACTTTGAATTTGAAAAAATATCAAATAACTGTAAAAGTATTTATCGTAAAACAAGTATTTCAGAAATTATGAGTGGTTTTCTGTGCTGCAGAATGTGTGTAGGCCTATTATCTCTTCTGCATAGCACAGTTAATTCATTTACTTTACACCAATGACCTACCGGTAATAACTTATATCTGGGTCACTGTTTTCTCTGGGTGTATAATTACATGAACATTGCTCCCAAAACTACTCGCTTCTATGTCCTCTCCCCTGCCTTTACAAACGCTGTCAGAATAAGGTTTGTGTCTTCTTGGTACACCCCTTTAATTAGGTGGGGTGCTCTCTTTAAAGCATCATCTTCACTGCCTCCTTGCCTCTATTTTACCCTCAAGTGGAGCAGATTGTCAGCGTGTTTAAGGCGGCCACTAAACAGAAGGCCTGGGACCACTTCACTAAGGCACAAAGAAAGAACATCGATACATGGAAAAAGGCATCAGAGGTAGGTCAGGTCAGGTCAAGGTCACTGTAGGGTCAAGGTCATGTAGGCAAAGTGAAGAGACTTGTTATTGTATAAATGAACTTTTAGTAATTGTAACTTTTCAAGGAGTCGGTGTAGAGAAATATTGACTCAACAAATTTTAAACTGCATTTAATGTAGAAATGTTTTTATTTAGCTTTTACGAGCTAAAAAACTGATGTAAATTGTATTTTCTAACAAGTCTTGGATCTTTGTTCTGGCTATTAAATGTTAAACCTGCTGGAGACAACAATTTCAAGAAATTAAAAATGTATATCTTTATCTCAAGGTTGAGTTATAAAATAATTATTTTGGTAATAGAAATGTAACATTCTGAAAATAAGTTATGTTTTTTGTCACAAATGATGTTTTTGGCTTCATCATCAGCAAATGTACCAAGGCCAATCCTGAATTTATTATTTTTTTAAAACTAATTATACCACAAAGTAAAATGTGCTACCAACTATTCTTGTCAATCTTCAATAATGTTTGCTTGAAATTGCTTAAAATTGGTTTTTGACTTTAAAAAAGACTTGGTACCTTTGTGGTCATCATCATTATCATCACCATCATCACCACCATGACCAGAAGCTGAACTTCACAAGGTAGGTCTTAGGGCGCATTTTCAAGCAAGTTGTGACAGCCTTAATAAGGACTTGCAATCTCAGATGGTTGGAGAGCCTTAGTCAATCTAATCTCTTTCAGCCCCCCTGCATGGTAGCTAAGGTCATTGACTTTCCACAATTATATTAATGATATGAATGACAAAAACTTTTATTGAGCATTAAATGCAGTTTCAGTTACATTTACAGGCTCTGTATTGGACCTAAAATGATATTAAATACTCGCTAAATATACAATAACTAAGAGTTGTAATTTTACATTAAACAAAGATGGCCTGAACTTAATTAAGCTGTCACAAATTGACAGGAAATGCAGCCTTGGATTAAGAAAGAAAGGTAAGTGATGCACAAACCTGTAGTTCATCTCACTGAATTCATTATCACACCCTTCATGTTCTGAACTTGCTCTGGAAAAGTGTACAATTTAGGCTATGTTCACAGTAGGACAGATATAGATTGGATTTGGCAGTCTACTAGTAAGCAATATATTTTTCTGTTGTCAGTCTTTAATATAATCCAGTCTTGGTTAGTCTAATTTTAAATGCACACCGAGAGCAAGTCCAGAATCAGAGTTATAATTTTCAAAAACATTATTTGTGACCATGGTAAGTAAATATAAGTAAAATATAGCCAGAAAGTTAAACTTATCAACCAAGTTCAGTAAGAATGGAACATGCAGGAATACAGGATTTCATATTTGTGAAAGCCAATTTGGGAAGTGCAGAAGCCAAACCAGGACTGGGGTAAAGAGTTTGAGGAAATTTCATGTAAAAAACAAAGTTGTTAAAAGGGGATAAATGTGGACAGTTTAAAAGAATAGTTGTTGTAGGGTATCAAATAGATGGACTGGTCAGGTGGTTGAGGGGAGTTTAAAAAATGCTGTATCTAAAACCTTGACCCATCTCAGAAGGAGAGAGAAGACGTCAAATCTCCCCCCCCCCAAAAAAAAAAGTGAATGTACACAATGATAAAATGCCCCATACTGCAATCTTTTCATTTTTTCATTAAAAGATTAAAATACTTTTCTATTTTATGATTGTTTTTATTATTTTATAATTATAAATATTTTTGGGGGTAATTTGGCATCTCCCTATCAGCTGTCATCAAGGCATCTTAAAATGCCACCTTTCTGTCCTCCTGGAACTTTTCTTTGAGACATTCTTATGGAATATTTATAATGACATTTCCATTTTATTTATTGTATGATTTATTGTCTCAACTTAAGATAGGGTAATTGTTAAAATAGCCATTAAACCATGGAGTTAAAATTAAATTATTATAATAAATATAAAGTGTAAGAACCTAAATTGGTACTTAATGGATTTATGGAGGAAGAATGCACGAACTGTTGTTGGCAAGGGTATTATTATTCCAATTTTAAACAAAAAAAAAAAAAAACATGTTTACCAGACGTTGGACATAAATCCATTTTAGAGGTCATAAATGGATTCATGACTGGGCTTAAATTGGATTTTAAAACATTTGCCGATTATTTGCAGGAGATAAAGACTACCCAGCAAGATGAGTTTTTCAAAGAACGCCAGGAGACGGAGATGGATCTCTCTGATGACGAGGAGTCCAGTGCCAAAAAACCTAAACTTGATAACTGTAAGTAGGAGTTTAAAGGATAGAATTAAAGTAATGTAGTAGTTAGTTTATTGGAATGTTTTAACTGAAAAATGGAGGGAGAGAAGTTGTGCTGAGAATTTTATGTTCCTTGAAGGACTGTGTTGGTTGTGGTAGAAAGGAGCTAAAAAAAGGAAACAAAATTACAGTTACAAATGAAGATAAAAAACTTAATATCACGTTTCGTAAAGTGTGTTGACAGTTTAGGGACTAAAAAAATTACAAAAATAACACATTTGCAGCCCAAGTTGGCCAACTGAAGGAAGACAACGACTCCTTGAAGTGCCAGGTAGAGGCGTACAAGAACGAAATGGATCTTGTGAAGACGGAGGCTAAGAACAGCATTGAAGAGGCAGAGAAACAAATCAAAGCCTTTGCCCAGGCTCTGCAGGGGATGCAGCAGGTATTTGGAGCAGTGACCTAGGGAGCCTTCCCATAACCCTACCCTACTAGCTGGATTGATCTAACTCCTCATAGATTCTCACTAATTGCATTCAGTTTAAGTGGCTTAAAGGCCCCCTCGTAACATAAAGTACTTCGGTAAAGTCAGGGGAAAAAATCCTTGGTCCAAACGTAGAATTTAAGTTATATGTGGGAATTTTTAGTTTCTCCTTCATAACTTGAATTACAACTAATGGCCTGTCTGTAATTCTCTTCCAGCAACTGATAAATGCCAATACTCAGAGGAAAAAAGATGAAGAGGAAATTCAAAGGGTAAATAGCTTGGGTCACTGAAATTTTTGGTACCTTTATCCAAGTTCTACAATTAGTGATGAGATTGGTCAAATCAAAAATATGTCATACTCTTAAATCACAGTTAGAATTATGCTTAGCATTTGTTGAAATTAAGGTGCTTTCAGTTGTGTATATTGTAACCAATAGCAGGTTTGACTAATTTTCTTTTCTATTTTTGTCTTAAATTGAATGCTTAGAAGTGACATTTGATAAAGAGCTTTTGTATGGAAAATGGCATAAGACTCATTTATTAAATATCTTTATTTTTTATCTTTATTCATTTATTCTTTTATTCATTTAAAATCTCAATGCATTCTTCACACATTTTTTCTTTTTTTTATGCGTGTTCATTGAAAGTAATCCATTTTCTTCCATTTTCATCAGCTCCAGGCTCAGTTAGGGATTGTGGATAAGACAGGAGGGCAGAAGTCTGAAACAGCTGCTGTTGAACTGAATTTAGGTGGAGCCAGTGTCAGTCAAGAGAAGACGAGTGTAGAAGAAACAGTACAGCAGGAAAAGGATGTTACATCAGTCACCTTGGAAACCCCTTCAAGTAGCATAGCAACTGAGGGATCTGCATTAAATGAAAAAGAGGCCAGATTAATTGGTAGGAGTGGGGTGAAAACCTTAACTTATAATGTGTTTAAGTTGTGCCTGGAATTTGGACTGTGAAACGGGATAATGAAGCAAATAATATGACATTGTATAATATCAAGTGACACATTACCACATGGGTTTTCAAGATTTAATGCCTACACGGGACTTTTCAAACTGTTGGAGTTCTATAAATGGGACAAGTTTGCTAATTACCCTTTATAGGTTAGAAAAAAAATTACCAAAGTGACATCTGTATACCTTGTCATCACATGTAGCATATATTTCGCCAGCACGTTAATCAGCTTCTTCAACCCACAATTCCAGGTCTCATCTCCGTGTTCCTGCATGCGCACCCTTTTGGCGCGAGCGTGGACTACATCTGGTCGTACCTACAGCGTTGCAACATCATTGTGCGTCGCAGCAGTGAGATAGAGGATCTCCTGGAGAGACTTCCCGATGTCTTCAGGACGGAGATGTGTGGGGTTGGGGCCTCCATCGAGAAAAGGTGGACTTTTACTGGGTTTACTTCCAAAGATTCTGGACTCATTATAAAGTGAAAACTCTGCATCGGCAAAGTAGGGGGAGTAAAGTTCCAGACTTAAAGTGCAAGTTCAGGTTTAATTTGAGACAGTGGATCAGGATTTAGACCCATTTATAGTGATGACTTCTTGTAAAGTCAAGTTCAAAAGAAAACTGAACCACTTTGGCAGGGAGTTCAACTTTAATTTGAGGCCAGTAAAGAGACTCTTGGGCTCCTACTAATATAAAGTGATGACTTCATGTAAGACCAGGTGAAAAGAAGAAGTAAGAGACCCACTGGAATGTCTGCTGAAGTTTATTTAGTTTGAAGCAGTTGAAGAGACGAAGAAGCAATGTCAGATATACTGTTGCTCAATGGAAAATGGAGTGATATTATAAGAACCACTGACACTGGATTATAAGAGTTTATTGAATTCAAAATAGTTGAAAAGACAAAAAGACTTGATGTCATATAAAGTGGTACTTAACCAAAAAGTTGTGGATTATGCTGTTAAGTGTTATGTATTATCACATCAAAATTGACACTTTCGGTGTAAATATCATCAGAGAAGAGCAGTGTTTGTTATTCTCTAACTTAAAAGAAAGGTTCTTATGGCTAAATTGGAGATTATATTAGAACTAGCCTTATTAGATGAACTTTAGATGAACACTTTCCTCCTTTAGTTTCATCAAATTCCTTTTACAGCCTAACACCTAAAATTGGTCTTGGATCTGAAAATGTGTTATTGTTATGTAAAATAGATCATTATTATAAGTTGTTAGGCAAATTAAAGTTATTCTCAACCCTGTAGATTTGCTCAACCCATATATCCCTCGCTTATGATCTTTGATCATATAATCCAGTCCTGTAGTTTTATATTCATTAGATGACTCTTTTCCGTGTCTAACAACCTTAAACAAGGAAAAAATAAATTATGTATTACTGAAAAAGTCTTCAGCAGTTGTCTATAATATCAAGATCCCTCTCAAATGTTTTAAAGCGTTTGAGTTACATATTTTAATGCAAAAATATAATGGAAAGGTAATCAACATTTGAAAATAAATATATCAGAGAAATAAGCTCCACACAACACGGCTCGTCCTAGTCGATATTCTATATTAATTGAAATTACTGATCATACGATTTTAATATTTTTTCTGTACAATGGAAAAAAAGAACAACTTTTCCGTAACCTTCAGAACAATCGGGATCCGCCCAGAATTTTACTCTGTAAATTTATGTACATATGACAATATACCCATTTTATATCGTTTATCTATTTATCTCTACCTATGTCTTCGTAAATTGTCCCTTTTGGCAGTTTTGCTGTTATATTTGTAAATTTTGTTGCAGTTTTTTGCTGTTTCGTGTCAGCATCTTCTAGCTTCAACTTTCAATCTAATTTACTTTAAATCCAAACCATCTTTTAAACATTGACAAATATCCCTAAATGCCGTCTTATAGATCTTTGTGTCCCTATGGGTTGTCTTAAAGAAGGTATGCCAGGCAGGGAGATAGTGGTGGTGTGTGACGTGTACCCCAGCCTCCATCAGTCGCCTCTTGTACAGCAACCCGTCATCTCTCAGAATGTCGTACTCGGCGGTGATGAGGCACGCGCTGGGAACTCCCTTAAGAGAAGGGGCGAGGAGGGGGGAGAAATATGGATCAGTCACAATGTCTTCAAAGTTTTTCGAGATGGGTGGTTGGGCTGGACCTTTAAAAGTTGGCGGAACAAAATGATCGGGGATGAAACTCTTATCAATAAGATTGGGATCGAGGTACTTTTTGTACTTCGAGAAGGTCGCATCCGAGAGATGTGCGTTCTGTGTGATGAGGTGAAGCACGCTGGCGTTGCCTTCAGTGCCCAGCGCGTACATCATCTTAAACTTGGACGTGCGCGTTCTGGTCAAGAAGAGGTTGTACTTGTTGTTCTGCTGAGAGGACGCCGTCCAGAAGTCCAGCGCTTGGACACTGGGGTAGATGAGCAGTTGGAGGCGTAGGGCCGGTGTGACTGCAAGGTCTCGGAGCTTTAACGTCACAGCCGCCACCAAGTTTCCGCCGGAGCTGTCACCTGGAAATACAACGTGTCACAGTGCAGAAAAGCCCCGTCGTTTAATTAGAGACATATCTGTGAATATCTAGTAAAAAATCAATTTGTGTCCCTGAAAGAGAGTAGGTGTATAAGAAATACAGTAAACTTCTCATTACTGGGTACTTTATAGCATGGGTTATTGTGTAAACTCGAACATATCTAATGAGACGGATTTTTCTTTTGGGATTAGTGGAAATATATGTGAACAGTTTCTACTAATTACTAGAATATTCGAGTAACTCGAACAAATTTCCAATCACAAAGTGTCCAAGTTGTACGGAGTCAACTGTACATCAAAATGTTACATAATAAAACATGAAAAACGTATTCTGGTAGATATGTTAGTTAATCTCATATCGTGCTAATATCCCTGCGTACACGAGCTTTTACATAAATGTGTCTATGTCATTCTGAAAGGATGCCTTTGTAACATGCACTAAAATATATATAACCTCGTAATTTTAAATTTTCCGAATGTATTATTCTTCTCTCAAATTTTGGATAGGTTTTAATATTTATACTTGTTTTTAGTCTCCAAATACAATTCAAGCAATATTTAACACAATTTCAATCAATTTACAACACTTACACATTAATAAACTTGTCAAAGTAAAGAGAATAATAACATTTCAGACCTACGATTGATCGGAAACATTAATTTTATTCCTCATTCATAAAACATAATTATAAATCGAAATGCGTTGAATTTCTTTTTTTCAATATTTGTTTGTATGGCATGGGCATGTCATTACTTTGAACTTACTTAGCTTTAATCATTAAATCATTTGATATCCTAAATGAACACACTATGCTAGATCTTTCTCAATGTTCCCCTCTAAAATAATTAGTTAACATTAAAAACAAATTACAAAGACAAAATATCCTAGGCATGAATTCCGTAAAAACGATAAAACAATTTCAAAAACATATCCGTACACAACATAACTATGATACAAAAGTCAAAGTTTTAATCCTTTCGACAAACAGTCACAAATATCTCTCATCAATCTTTTGTATATATCAGTATTCCTATGAGGAGTAGAGAAAAACCCGTGCCACGCCGGAATATAATGCAAATGCGTCACAGGAACGCTAGCGTCTTCCAGGCGACGCTTGTAAAGGAAACCTTCGTCTCTCAGGGGATCGTACTCTGCCGTGAACAAACACGCTGGTGGTACCTCCCGTAGAGTCGCCGCCAGTAATGGAGAGAAGTAAGGACTGGTGATGGCGTCTTCAAACTCCGCAGAAATTGGCTCTTTTAAAGGCCGACTTCTTGTCGATTGATTTTCAAAGTCCTCGGGAATAGACTCCCTATCGAGAAGACGCACATAGTCTAAATATTTGTGGTATTTGGCAAATGTTTTGGCTGATAAGTGTTGGTTTTGGAAAAGCATTTCCCTGATGGTGTCATTGCCATCGCGACCTAGCGCGTATGCCATTTTGAAGATCGCCATCCATTTTCTCCCGAGATAAAGATTCTGCTTTTCATTTTGTTGGGAAGACGGCGACCAGAGGTCCAGTGACTGGACGTTAGGGTAGATCAGGAGCTGAAGAACCGGTCGCAGACTCGTCTTCATGTCGCGGAGCTTGAGAGATACGGTCGCGGCAAGGTTTCCGCCGGCACTGTCTCCTGAAACGTAACGAACCACGGCGCTAGCCTTAAACATAACCGTTATTTACCCTCTAACAAGGCGGGAACAGAGAATTTTTTCACTAGATATTCACAGATATTTTCTGGCTAAATATGTGAACGTTTTTGTTCTGTACAACGAGAATTTTTGCACAGGAATAACGTCACCACCTAGCTGGCCTAGGGTAGAAAGTAGGCCTGCATGTTATTTAACAGAAAATGATCAGGAAATGGGTCTCTCTGCTAGAATACCCGTTTATAAAACACGAGGCATGGCAGTCCCACCCATTAAGTATTTGTGACACTGTTGGTTAGGAAAAAAATGGAAAAGGCCCTAAGAGACAACCTACATGTACTTACCGCCTATAGCCACTCTGTTGGGATCGACGTTGTACTGTGCAGCATTTCTCAGCAAGTGTAACGTGGCGGTGGTGCAGTCGTCTAAGGCAGCAGGAAACTTGTGCTCTGGGGCTAGGCGGAAACTGAAAAAAATTCAGGCGGCAAGTTAACTATTTAGAAAAGGAGGTTGTAAAAGTAGTTGAATTTGTTAATGATGGTACGTTAGAGATTTCTCGCTTATTACAAATACATTCATACAAGGGGTCGACTAATTTATTGCAGTGAGTTCTAATTTTGTAGCATCATGTGTGCTTGCGTGTGAGTGCGTGCGTGTGTGTGTGAGAGACATACAGAGAAAGAAAAAAAGAGAGTGGGGGATGGAGAAAGAGAGACAGAGACTTACTCCACAGACACCACTACTATATTCAAATTTTCTGCAATTGACCGGGTATGATAATCATAGGCCCCTGAAAAGAAAAGGCGTTTTACTTCTCAAGCAAATTGAATTTATAGAATCTCAATATTTTCAGAATTCATAACAAGTGAGCAGAAACATAAGCTAACACTTGCAGAATGATGCACAAGATCGCCTTTGTCTTCTGCATCTCGCACAACGTATACATAGAAGTCGCTGGGTTTTTTTCTTGAATTCTTTGCGTTGCCAATCGCTTTTCTACCACCAGTGGCAAAAATGGGACGATTTTGAAAAAGCATGGCTACTTCCATCTCAGTTTGCGTAAATACCTCTTCATTTACGGATAAATGTATATGCATGACCTTGTGGTCATTCTGTCTCTTCTCCGTCCATAAAAGTTTCACACAGCTCTTGACACTGACATTTGAACTAACATTCATTGTAACCAAAATAGCCCGAGTTTCTGAGCAGACGATCAAGGGTTATCTCTTTTATTTTTAAACTTTCATAAACAAAGAATGGAAACAAGGTGTTTCTTGTGAAACTACTGCATACTTGCGCTCCCGACGGACCATCCTCCACCGTGGTAGAATACCAAGGCACCAGTTGGCTTCTCCGCCCTCGTCTTAGGTTCGTATAGCCTAACTTTAACACCGTCGAATTCAGTTTCCGTCATCTGGAAAACATTTTATTTAAGTTCACACTTGTGGAGACCTGAATGTTAAAATAACGGAAAAATAAATAAATAAATATGGGCAAATAACTGACTTTGTTATAGTGCTTGCGACCGCTTTGAAAACGAAATTTTGCTCACTCACACTTCTTTCAAAGTTGGGTCTTTGGCAATTTTTGATTCTATGGTCAATATGAAATTCATACAATAATATAGCTAACTTTTAAATATTCCATTTTTTTCGTTACGCATTTTTACAAACATGGAGAGATAAAAGGCAAGATCTAAACCACTTTTGTTTGTCATATTTATTGAATTAAATATATTATATTCATTATTATAAGGGCATATTAAAATTATTAATGCGACACTTGTAGAACAGTCACAGTTCATTTATACAATTTCTGATTCTAATTGTATCTTTTTCTGGTTTCCATTAGTAAATAAAACTTTCACTCAATAACAGTAATTATTTTATGATACTTATTATAGAACAATTCACAATTTGATTTTAGTCTGGAAAACAAGAAGGCTGCCCTTAGTTAATATCGCTACTATAAGGTCTGCAAAACAACTAGTTACCTCAACCAAAGTCAATAATTGTATAATATGATTTTTTTTATCAACTCAATATTAATTGGAAATGCTACAATATATGGTGCTTTTGAAGTTATCACAGCTTGTGCATATTATCATGGCTATTACTCCACTTAAAATAATCATGTAAAAATAAAAATATTGTGTTATTTCACTAATTCATCAAAGGAACACTCCATGGGATTTTTCCACCAAAATTAATATTTTGAGATTCTCTCCACGCACTTGAAAATCCCCACAGTCATATTCATGTCTTGTTTAGCTTTTTATATTTCCCAACGCAGATTCTAAAGACAGTAAAACCCCGCCATTCTTGTATGAAAACGAGGCAATGTGCGAGATGGCATATGTCATTATAAAGACTGAACAGTCATTTAGACTAAAGTATGAAATTAAAAATGAAATAAGACACTGAATCCAAGTGCAGGGCAGGGTTAAGCAATAATTCCAGAATAAGAGAAAATAGATTTTTACCCCAGGAAAATTCATTTTGGTGCAAAAATCCCATGGAGTTAGCCTACAAAGCTTCAATATAAAAATAAATGCCTGTTAAGTCTGTAAAAAATGTAACATGAATTGTTTCTAACACTGTCCAAAGATTAATATATTGCTAAAATGTTATACATTTATCTGTATATGGCACACCAGTCACGGTCTGCAGGCCCATAGCCAGTGAAGGTTCGGGGGGTTCGAAAGAGCCACCCCTTTTGCTGTGAAAAGGTCCACTCTGGGTAAAACTTGATCTAGGTACATGAGGATATTATGGTAAAAAGTCGACTTTTTCAGAAAAAGAGCTCCCCCTTTGAAATTGCTGGCTATGGGCCTGGTCTGTCTGTCTGTCTGTCTGTCTGTCCCTTATAAATAGTGACTGTCTCTCTGTTTTGGAATGCTTGCGAGTTCTTTTTGTCATTACTCAGAGATATTTTTGCACTATTATGCTTCAAAACCATTGCATTAATGTCAAAGATATAAATATTAAACTTTCATAAAAAATTTAAAAAAATTTTCATCCACAATGTTTATAAATTATACCATACAAAAAAGTTCATCGCTTTAAAACATTTAAAAAGACAATATAACAGCAATAATAACATAACAGTGATTTTTTCAACCTGTCAAAGATTTTGAACTTATTACAAGAACCATAAAACATAAACACTATTAAGCATTTTGTTCAATTACACATTTTTCAAACAATCCAAAACACCCCTGTGGACTTGTGGAAACATTTTTATGTGTCCATGCTGTCCATCATAAATCCCATGGAATGTCTTGTAATGGTGATGTGTGACCTTGACCTTTGCTTCCTCCAGGCGTCTTTTGAACAGCAAACCATCATCCCTCAAGATGTCATATTCTGCGGTGATGAGGCAGGCCTCAGGGACCCCCTGCAGAGTCTCGGCCATGACGGGACTGAAATACGGATCCATCACAACACGTTCAAATTCTGCTGAAATAGGCGGCTTCGACAAGCCTTGGTTTTTGTATGGTTTATAGTCCTTTGGAATATACTTCCCCTCTAGTAATGACGGATGCACAAATTCTCTGCCTCTCTTAAGAACCTCCTCTGAAAGATGCTGGTTGTTTAGCATTAGATTCAATAGATTAAGATCTGCTTTTGCAATCCCTAAGGAGTAGGACAACCAAAATTTCACCATGAGTTCAGACTTTAAATTGATGCCGAGTTTGTTGTTCTGCTGCACTGAGGGGAGCTGGTTGTCGATAAGCTGGAGAGCAGGGTAGATGAGGAGTTGTAGTTTTAGAAATGGCGTCACCTTCTGGTCCCGGAGTTTTAGTGCAACTGCAGCTGCCAAGTTACCACCGGCACTGTCACCTGTAACATTTCAGAAAATTCTTCACTTTTGTTATCTGTTGCTTTCAAAACAATTTCTTAGACAACTTGTACTAGTATTCTTACCAAAAAGGATCAGTTTATAGTATATTACTGCTTATCATTTGGTTACCATTTCATTTCTATAACCTAAATCTGTCTCGTTTAGTTATTGCTTTTTACTTGCAGATATTCATTCATTCAGTTTGCATTAAAACAAAGGATTTTTCGCTTTATGTTAGTTGTAATATATCTTTTACTGAAAGATAAAAAATTTTCTGTCCTATGACAAAATACACTAATTTCATAGTTTACACACTAAGGCCCTGTTCACATGACAAGTCTATTTTTTTTAAATCTATTTTCTATTTGTGGTATCTTGTGATCACGGTCTGTGCCCTGAATACCCCGTGGCGTGATTACTGGCAGCGCGAGCCAGTTACTTCCAAAGCTGTAATTAATTCTCGGCTGCGCTCGGAGTGATCACAAGATACCGCGAATAGAAAATAGATTTTTAGAAAATAGATTTTTCATGTGAACAGTCCCTTACCTCCCACAGCCACTCTGTTGGGATCCACATTATACTTAGCAGAATTCTCCAGCAGATACACAGTCACTGCCACACTGTCTTCCAAACCAGCTGGGTATTTGTGTTCTGGGGCTAACCGATAACTACAAGGAAACATTCAACAAATATATCATCAAGGCAAATGGATGCCAGATTCTCATAATGAATGTCTAGACCCAACTCCTACATGAATCTATGGAAATTTAGACAAGGTTTGGTTTTCTGTTGTAAAAGGTGATGGCAGTATGTGAAAATGAACTGCATAATGCAGCAGTTTAAAAGTTTTGATACTAAAAGACAAAATTATGTTAAGTAACTTACTCAACAGAGACCACTACCATCCCCAGTTCTTCTGCAATACTTCTTGTGGTGCTGTCATATACAGCTGAATTAAAAATCAAAATAACTCCACTCAAATAAAAACAATGATAATATTTATAGGTAAACTTAAAAACAGTAACATATATTCTAAAATAAGTTTACAGTATAGACAGATATAAACACACACAAATATGCCCATTATATATATATATATATATATATATATATATATAGAGAGAGAGAGAGAGAGAGAGAGAGAGAGAGAGAGAGAGAGAATGAATGAATCACTGTGTGCTTTATATGTTCTCAACCATATAACTTGTATTTTGCATCAGAAAGGAGTCACAGTGGAGTTTTGAGGTTTTGCGTATGTATGGAAGGGAGAGGAGGTCGATCAATTGAAAAATTAAGTCAACATCCTGCTTAAAGGCTTATATTTCTACTCCAAATTAAAAAAAAAACTACAATCAATTAATGCAAAATGGCACTCACTTACCAGAACTTCCTATTGTCCAGCCACCTCCATGTAAATATATGAGAGCAGGTCTTTTTCCTTTAATTTTAATGGGATCATACACTCGAACATTTACTCCTTTAAACTGTGTTTTTGTAACCTGTAAGATTTACAACTTGGTAGTCATGGAAAGTATGTCACTGAGGACTACCACAATAATCAGCAATAATAAAAAACAAAACTCACAATAATGACAATCACCAATTTTATTGAATTTCGAACTTAACAATTTTGGTTTAAAACAAAAAGTCTGCTTTAAATTCACAATTTTCTTTGGTGCAGTTGTTCTTATTTTGAGGCGAGAAATATTTTGCATCCTGGTTTGTGTCATTGATTATATTGTACATATTCCGGTGCCATGAGGTACCATATTAATGGCTGGAACAATGAATCACATGTTGCTGTAGCAACCAAGGTATATAACACCTCTAAACATCTCTTAGGCCATTCATATAAGAACGTTAACTGCGGTCGAGTTTACTCCGATTAAACCGCGGTCAACCAAACCACGGTTATTTGCGTTCACACTGACACCGGCAGCGATCAGTAGCAGTAGAATCTCAGCAAGCGTACTTCCTGTTAAGCATGCACTCTTACTAAAATCTGTGCAACATGGCGGGAGCTCAAATGATGATACACTGGTGCACGTGTGCTTCATATGTAGACATCCGGTCTTGGCCGCGGTAAGGAGATTACTCCGATTATACCCACGTACCTCCCCATCTGGGTTTATTTCGACTGTCGTCCATTCACATTAAAAAAGTTAACCTCGATAAGACTGCAGTCAGGCCGCAGTTAAAAGTGCTAGTGTGAATAGCCTGTTGAGATGTTTAGAAACTTACTGCAGAGAAGCCTACAGCATGATAATGCACAACTTCACTTTCAATTCACTGCTATATATGGCATTGACTATACACCCTTTATTAATTAGGTAACTTAATGCTAAATTGATTCCAGAACATTTTCACAACTGTATCTGGGGTGGTCGTCACAGAAACACAGCAATGAATAGGGGTGCTTTCCCAGAGATTTAGATCGACCTAACTCCCTGGGGGTTCACGCTAAATTGCAGTCAGCCGGGCGGGCACCATAGTTAATTACCCCCTTACAGCTTTTAGTAGGCGGGACAGACGCTTAAGCCGGCCAAGCTGACAGTAATCTAATGAGACTCCCCACAGGGATAGATCTATCTAAAATCTATGGAAATGGGGTCTTCTCCTACCTTAACTGAGGAGTTAGGGTCTGGAGGCACCATGTCTCCCATCTTCTCAAACAGGGCACGTAGCTGCTCCAGTTCTGTTCCATATCCCAGCTTCTCTCCCAGCCAAAACTAACAAAAATGTTAATAACACCTACTGGTTAATCAATTGAAAAAAAGGCAACAATAATTATCATCATTTTTTATTAAATCAATATTCTTATGACCATATATTTAACTTTGTTAGTTATATAGTTATACTTTATATTAATGTTTATTATAATTAAACCAGCTTCTCCTTCAGCCAAAACTAAATATTATTAATGATTCATACTGGTTAAAGAAATGTTTTATCAGGGAAAGAAGTATATTGATATAATTAAATCACAATATGGTGATGATGTACGTACTGTACATGTAGATTTTTCATTGCCTTAATTTTGTGTATTGTTGGAAATTAGTTAATATATATTATGAGGAAGGGTTAAAACATCATGCTTCATTGTTGAAAATATGCTTTTTTATACCAATGAAAAATAATACTTTTCATATTAATGATGCAACTTTACTTATAAATGACCCTTAATTTTTGTATTATTATATGGTGAATGATATTACATGTTTCTATTCAAATAATAATTGCATTATATATTTTCAGCAATCATAAACCTTTTCAAAAATCATAATTTTAATATGTGATCAACAAAATTTCACAAGATTCTTACCAAATAAGGCCCTAGTTTTGTAGACCATATGATGGGCCTTATCTCCCAGGGATTGTCAAAGTCATCAGGCACTGGGACATAGGCCATATAAGCCAAGCCTGCCACTGCCACAGCAACAAGAAGTAAGCAGCGTGCTCCGCAGCACCTCATTTCAGACCTAGATGATTAAAACACATCTGATTATAGGATCTAAATATGCTACCTGTAACCAACACACTTACAACTTCGGGTATACCTGGGTCCTGGCGTCATATTTTTGGCGTAATTTGGTTGTACATGTATTACATTCCAAAAGCAATCACGGACGTTTGTTCCTTACGATAGAGAGGCTATAAAATATTTTTTTACACAGTTAAAAGACGAATTTTAATCATTGCTATCCAAATATACATAGTGCTTACAGGGTTAAATTCCGCAAGTTCACATGACTCGACCTATATCCAGTGACCTATATATATGCATCTGTTCTCGTTTCAAAATAGTAAATCCCGTCAATAATTCGAGATTTCAGGTGTAAATAGAAGAGAAACTTAAAAAAATCAAAGCAAATGTTTTTATTTTTCCGAAAATAATGAAGTTTGTGTACAGGTTCGTTTGAGAAAAAGTTGGCCAAATAATAATCTTCGTCAAAAACCCAATAACATTTGAAAGTTATCAAGATCCAATTTTCCTTGGAAAAAAGCAACTTTTTATAAGTTCCTAATCACGAATAAATGTTCGACCCATCCGCAATTTCCAATTGGATTGGATGTTTTGTGACATTTCTAATTAAATTATACAGTACTTAGTCCGCTTAGTGTACGTCCGCCACAGTCTAAAATTCAAAGGAAATATTGAGATCAGATCTTTTATTTGAAGTTTAAATTCTAAAATTCTTTTTTTTTATGCCTCAATTCGGATCTAAGTTAATTATAAAGTAGCCTTACAGGATATGCAAAAACGAGAATTTGGTTTTGTAAAATATTCATATGAAGATAAGATCGTCAAATGTAATTCAAGTAATTGGGAGAGAAAAAATCAAAACCCATCAAAAATGACTTGCTGAACTGGACGTGTGTTACACAAGAATTAGTGATTTTTTTTTTTTTTTTTTTTTTTTTTTAACGATCCCGTCGTATGCTGGCAATGTACGCACCATCGGAAATATCTATTCCACCTGTTTTTAAGAATTTACGATGTTACATTTAAGCAGTATTTTTTAGTACTAGATTTTTATTTCATAAAATCTAAAGGAAAAAACAATTAGATTTACCGTTATTATAAAGATAACTGATATTACCGTAATAAAACCCCCATAATTTCAGCCCGTGTTTAATGGTTCCTAGAATCGCCTAATTAGTAAAAATTTAAAAAGTCACATTTCCACGAAGACAAAGGCGACAATTTAACGATTAAACTCTGCTTTTTTATTTCTTAATAATTCAACAGATTAATCAATATGTGTTGAAAAACGAAGTGAAGTTTTCAGACATTTCTCAAAAATCACAAAGAGGAGCTGCACACAATGCCTGATGTGAAAGATCGACTATTTTACAAACTTGACAGCATACCAATTTTAGTATTTCCTTTATTTCCAAAATATTTTTTAATAAAGTGTGTCACTTTTGGGTCCCAAGACAGTGGTGCACTTTTGAAAAAAAAATTACAAAAAGGTTTTTAACTAAAAAAAGTTTTGGGTGTCGCAATTGGAACCAAAGCCAGGAGTATCGGTGCGGGGATGTATAAAGATGTAGATCTAGCCAACTGTCCGACGTTAAGGCTGAGCTAGAATGAGAAAATAATTGAATTGAGATTGCTCTACTCGCGCCAAAATTGTGATCTGAAATGAGTTAATGAAATAACTATTTGAAATATATTGTTCAAATAAGAAACATTGAAAACACGAACTTTTTCCTTTATGGACATTCTTACTATATGGTCGGCAATATATTGCACAAATTCCCTTTGAAGAACACTTTTAATATAATTTTGATATATTGTGTTATGATGAACAACATGGCATACTGGTAACGGTAGCTACATGCGCCCCTTCATCTGTACGATGTAAGGAGAAGAAAGTAAGAAAATGAAGAATTATTTTCTCAAAATCTCATTACACAGAGGTTTCAGCGCTGCTAAGAAACATCTTTTTATATATAAAATCTAATTATTAAATTTTAAGATGTTGATTCATACAAATCAAAAGGAATAAAAGAGAAAAGAAAAAAAACTAACTTGGACGGGCACGTTTTAGTAAAGAAAATGAACCCGTTGAACATTCTGCTGTTATGATTATGATTCTTTCAGATATATGAAAACCAATTAAAAAGATTGAAATTTTACAACTATATTGTTAAGAAAAAAATAATATGTGGAAAACACATGGAAGTTAACTGAATTGATTATATATCAAATGTCATTATATCCTAAATAGGTTCTTATTACCGTCAACTGAAATGAAACTTGTTGAAATTTGGTCAAAATTGTACGAGTTTACAGCACTAAGATCGGGGCGTTTTATTGGTATGGGTTGTTTGAAGTTAACTTTTAAATGCTTGAAAACTAATTTTCAGTTTTGCAGCATGGGCACAAAAATGACAAGATCTGAAAAATTTATCCATCATGTTTATTGAATTAAATACATTTTATTTATTATTATAAAGGCTTATTTAATTCATTATTATAAAGGATCATTTAAAAGTCAATGGCGATACCATGCTTGTAGAAACCATTTCTTTTTTTTCTGATTGTCTCTTTTTCTGGCTGCAATTTGTAAACAATTCCATTTAGTAGCAGCAATTATAAATACTTTATAATGAATAAATATATAATAATATACATTTGCTTTCAGTCTGCAAAACAAGATGGCTTTCCCTTTGTCAATATAGCTTTCAAAAAAAAAAAAAAAAAAAAAGAAAGAAAAAAAAGAAAATTCTGATCTCAGTCAAAGTCAATAATACTTTAATATGATTATCTACTCAGCATGAATGGAAAATAATAAAATATTCAGTGCTTTTGAAATTATCACAGCTTGTGCATCAACTAGTCTAATCTTCCATGTTCCACAATATTCCAAATATCACATGAAATAAAACTAACACCTCATATCACAAATTCATTTATACCTCACTATAATGCTTGATTATGCAACACAGATTGCTCTCATAATTAGACAAACAATTAATATTGTTAACACATTATACAATTATCAAAATATGGCACACCAGTGGCAGTCTCTCTGTCTGTTTGTCCCTGAGTGACTATGTTTTGGATTGCCAGTGAGTTCTTTTAGGGAGCGTTCAGATGAACCCACTGTACTAGCTTGATTGTTCCAACTCTGGGGGAATTTCTCCCTAAGTGCAATCACTGTAATTGGCTTAAATGTCTGACATGCCTCCTGTAAAGGGGTAATTAGTGTAACTAATTAACTAGCTACTCAAGAACGCATGTCAGACAATTAAGTACTGTAGGTACATTAAATTGTGAGAATCCAGCAGAGTTGGATTGATCCAGCTGATACTATTTTTGAATTTGAACACGCTCTTAGTCACTACTGAGAGATAGTTTTGCATTATTACATTTCAAAGCCATTGCATTAACAATCTGAACACATAGTATTTACTTTAAATTGTTCATGTAAAAAGTGTATAAATTATAAAATACAAAGAAATAAAATGTTTAAAGCATGTAAAAAAAAAAAGACAATAACAGTCATAACACTTAACTTTAACAATTTAAACAATGATAGATTTAACTACAGTGGACTATTCATATTAACTCATCATCTGCTATCTCCAATCATTGTTATTCTCAACCAAATCTTTTGGAACAATTTCCTTTCCTTGATATTAGTTGGTACATGAATATCATTTACTCAAGTGTTTGTGTATCTCGTCAAATTTTCCAGACCTATAGTGTGTCAGAGTTTTATGCAAAGCCAACTATTTATTATATGTACTGCACCTTAGCCTTTTAAAAATTAATAAGTCATCTCATAATCAGAACAAATGTTTGCATTGTAATTTTAAATACAGAAGAAGGTGCAATTGCTAGCTAGTATTTGAATTACTCAACTATTGGATAAATATTCTTTTTATCTTTTTGAAGTCCCCCCTCCCCCAATCACAATTTCTGATCTGAAAGTTTGAGATTTATTACTGTAACCTTAGCTTAAACATTTTAAAAATTTATTACACATGTTTTAAACAAGCCAAAACGTCTCTGTGAACTTGTGCAAACATTTTCATGTGACTGTGTGGTTCAATGAAAATCCCATGGAATATCTTGTAATGGTGGTGTGTAACCTTGACCTTCGCCTCCTCTAAACGCCTTTTGAACAACAAGCCATCGTCCCTCAAGATGTCATATTCTGCGGTAATGAGGCATGCCCCGGGGACCCCCTGCAGAGTCTCAGCCATGACCGGACTGAAATATGGATCCATCACTACACGTTCAAATTCCGCTGAAATAGGCGGCTTTGACAAGCCTTGGTTTTTGTATGGTTTATAGTCCTTTGGAATATACTTCTCCTCCAGTAATGAAGGATGCACAAACTCTCTTCCTCTCCTTAGAGCCTGCTCTGAAAGGTGCTGGTTGTTGAGCAGCAGGTTCAATTGGTTAACATCTGCTTTTGCAACCCCTAAGGAGTAGGACAACCAAAATTTCACCATGAGATCAGTCTTTAAAATAATGCCGAGTTTGCTGTTCTGCTGCGCTGAGGGGAGCTGATTGTCTATGGCCTGGAGAGCAGGGTAGATAAGGAGTTGTTGTTTTAGAACTGGCGTCACATTCTGGTCTCTGAGTTTCAGTGCAACTGCTGCTGCTAAGTTACCACCGGCACTGTCACCTGTAATGTGTCAATATTATATTCTTATCAGACAATATCATTTTATTTCTTTAATAAAAAGTTGTCTCATTTAGTTATTGTCTTCTAATAGCTGAATTTCAAACATTCAATTTGCATTGAAATAAAAAGAAACTGGCACCAATAAATCTCAAGATTGTTTGCTTTTCATATGGTCCTTATACATATAATATACAACTTTCTCTGAAAGCTAAATAAATAAAGAAATAAAAAGGTCTTGTGCTATGACAAAAGAATACAATGATTTATTAGCTACCAACTTAGTTACGCTTTAAGACTATGTTCTCATAACTTTATTGTACTAGCAGGATCGATCTATCTCTGCAAAGATACTAGCTCAGGTGTAGTGAATGTGATCAGCTTAATTTTCTGGTACGCCTCCTCGCAAGCGACATGGACAACATCATGGAGCACATTGTTTTCCCGAATTAATTTTAAGTACTGAGTACATGTACTTTAAGTTATGAGGGGGTGTGCCAGACATTTAAGCTGCTAAAACTACATGCAATTTAGCGAAAATCCTCAAGGAGTTAGATCGATCCAGCCATTATGATGGGGTTAAGGGAACAGTCCCTTACCTCCCACTGCCACTCTGTTGGGATCCACATTATACTTAGCAGAATTCTCCAGCAGATACACAGTCACTGCCACACTGTCCTCCAAACCAGCTGGGTATTTGTGTTCTGGGGCTAAGCGATAACTACAAAAGAAAACATTCAACCAAAATATAATCCATCAGCAATGCAAATGTCATCCATTTGATTTTCAGAATGAATGTCTTGTCCTAACAACTATACTTGTTCACTGTTTCTTCCCTTAGCAAAATTTCAGGCTGTTAGGCTGTGTTCAGATAAAAAGCTATCAGACCAGCAGGATCGATCTGTCTCAGCGGGGATTCTCGCTACACCGCAGTCGACATATAATCAGCTAAATTGTCTGGCAAGCCCCTCATAACTTAACTTGTGTTGAAAGTTTTGAAACTTAGAGAAGAAATGAAAAATGTGCGATTTCACTTTAAATTTAATGCTATTAATGGCATTGACATTACACCCTTTATTAATGACCTAAGGTAACTCAATGCTAAATTGACTCTAGAATATTTTCACAACTTAATCTGGATATATAGGACATCACAGCTACTCAACAAAGAATGCTGGAAAATGTACAAAGAAATGTAGAACCTACCGGGTATATACAGTGCAGTTACCTATAGATGTTAGTCATAAGTCTGGAAGTACATACTTATAAAACCTTCAAAACAAAAAAAACACGCTATTTCTTCTACCTTAACAGTGGAGTTAGGGTCTGGGGGTACCATGTCTCCCACCTTCTCAAACAGTGCACGCAACTGCTCCAGCTCAGTTCCATAACCCAGCTTCTCTCCCAGCCATAACTAAACAATGATGTTTATGACAAATACTGGTTAATCAAAAAAGAAAAGAAAAAATAATCATCATTTTTAATTAAATCAATTATGATCTTATATTTAACTTATATATAGTTATACTTCATATTTATGTTTATTATAACCCAGATATCTCTCTTCACAGATCCTCCTTCAGCCAAAACTACACAATTATGTAAATAACATATACAAAATGATGAACATTACAGAAAAGGGGATCTATAATAAAATTGCCTTTAATGTACAAGTAGTGATCAATGGTATAATATTTAAAATAGCCCTCTGATGAAGGATCAAATACAAAATTAATGTATCATGCCTCATAATTAAGTAAAAAACATGTACTGTATATAGCTTTTTACATTTTTTTTTACCAATAATCTTAATTAATTATCGTAATCATTTTTGATTAAGGATGCAACTTACATTCCACTGATGTGATATTTCTTATTTCTTTTCAAACAATATTGCCAAATACTGTATATTCAGTAACCACAAGCTTTCCCAAACTTCAAAATTAAAAAAAAAAAAAAAAAAGAAAAGAAAAAAAAAACCCTTTATTCATTAAAATTTCACAAGATACTTACCAAATAAGGCCCTAGTTTTGTAGACCATATGATGGGCCTTATCTCCCAGGGATTATCAAAGTCATCAGGCACTGGGACATAGGCAATATAAGCCAAGCCTGCCACTGCCACGGCAACAAGTAGTAAACAGCGTGCTCCGCAGCACCTCATTTCAGACCTTTGTAATTAAAACACATCTGATTATCAGATTTACATACTACCAACGCATTTATAATGAAAATATATCAAATAAATATTGACTTGTAGGAACCGGGGTAATCTGATAATCGAAGTCAGAGGTACAGGTTCAGTACAACGTTAGCGGTTCGTTAAAACGGTCCACGGGTCCACAGTACAATGTTCATTTCAACTTCCAAGTTAAATTATTAGTAAAAGAAATGACTAGTGGGATATTTGACTTGCAAACGTTTGCATTCACATACAAATAATAAGAAAAAAGAGCCAGTAATCAATGCCATCAAAAATAACTTGTTGCTGTTAATCGACATATACTTACAGGACAAACAGTGCACATGACTTGACCTATATCCAGTGACCTCCAGTGACCTATATTCATCTGTTGTCCTCCTCGTTCCAAAAATAGTAAATCTCGAGTGATAATTCGAGATTTCAGGATTTTAGGTGAAGGTCATTATAGTATTTTGAATTTCATCGCGGGTTACGATCATTTAATATGGTTAAATAGAACTAAGAAGGTAAGTTATTTACAAAACCGAAAGCTAATGTTTTTATTTTTCAGAAAATGATGAAGTATTTGTAGAGGTCCGTTTGAGAAAAAGCTGGCCGATTAAAACATTCTTCGTTTAGAAACCCAATGACATTTGAAAGTTCTCCAAACCTAGATTTTTGCGCCAAATCCCAATTTTCATTAAAAATGCAGTATTCTTCAAGTTCTCTTAAGATCACGAATCATTGTTCAATATTTTATAACATTTCTAGTTGAATTATGCTGTTCTAAGTGTCCGCTATAGTCTGACATTCAGAAGAAAAATTGAAATCAGATCCTTTATTTGAGGTTTTTAAATTCATTTACAATGCCTAAATTTGTGATATTTTCAAATGCAAACAGCATACCTCTGAGGTTTATTTTCTCTACGATGTATGCAGTTTGACTATTCTAAAATTAACCATTTCCGGTATTCTTTTATAAGTGTTCTATGGTCCACAATGGAAATACATGTTTTAATTTTGTTTGTGTTATACATATATTTATCAATTTTTTAATATTTTTACTTTAAATAGTGAATAAATCATATCATTTCATATAAGGATCCACAGCAATGTCCACCAGGCCATCATCTGGGAAGCAAACAAATAAGTCCAAAGACAAGAGATCCACAGCTGAGCACAGACACAGTGAAGATCATGAACAAAGAAACCTTGATGATGCAGTGGCCTACTTCACAAATGGTTAGCAATTCAATTTTGGATAATTATCATCATCATCATCTATGGACCAGCTGTTACCATCTACCTCTATGATACTCACACCCCATAGTTTTTTTTTCAGCTCATCACTGTAGCACTTTTTAGCCATTCCTTTTCCACCATCAATGCTTACTAGTACTCTAAATGTGGCATAATATATTATAATATGGATACTATGTGACACAAGAAAAAAGTGGTATTTAGTGAACTATGCATCTAACTTTATGAGTTCATCCAATCTTATCTTCAAGTGATTCACAGTAAGTCCCTTATAAAGGGATGGAGTACTTACTAGTACACTAGTAAAGCTTGGTACATGTAATTGAAGCTAAACTTATGACACTCATCTTCTCATGATGCTATTTTGTATATTTCAGCCCCAAAATATTAATTATTTTTTTCAAAGAATATCTGTTAATTTTCTTCAGAGCCTGAAAAATATTTGTTAATTTTCTTTAGAGCACAAAAAATACTTGTAAATATTCTTCAGAACCCAAAAAATACTTTTAAATTTTCTGCAGAGCCCCAAAAATATTTGTAAATTTCCTTCAGAGCCTAAAAAGCATTTGTAAATTTTCTTCAGAGGACTCCAGCACCAAGGTACGTAACAACCTGCCACTGTCCCTGTCACTGGAGACTATAGAGAACCAGGCTAAGGACAATGGGCTGGGGACAGAGCATATAGAGGCACTAGTGGAAGTGGCAGCCTCCTCTAGATTTCGTAAGTGTTAGATATAAGTTGGGGGTGGTGTATTTGTCTGGGGTAATGATGACATTTGCTAGTTTATCAAAATGCTAAAACTGGCGTAAATTGGCTAAACAAAATAGGATTGATTTGGCTTAGTCAAATTTAGACAATTTGGAGAAAAAAAGTGATAAAAAAGTAGACTGTTGTTTGCTAAGCATAAAAAATTGGTAGTGCTGCCCCATTGTATGTCGAGGCAACATCCTCTAGATTCTGTAAGTATTAGATATGAGTTGGGGAGGTGTGTGAATGACATGGCAAGTTTTTCTAGATTTAATAAATACAACCAAGAGCTCATTCCCAATGTGCTATCAAACCATTTAGATCACAGATGGATCCAACTCCACAGGGACTCTCAATGAATGCAGTCAGAAAAAAAACTAACCTGTCTCCTTTTGTTTCCAGTGATTGCATTTAGAGTCCCCCAAAATTGGATCCATCTACTAGTATATAGATTGATAGTTTATGGGGAAGAGCCCTAAGAGCCAAGGTGTTGTGCATATGCATGGCTTAGGAGATTCCTCTAGATTTAGTAAATATTGGATACAGTTATGTGTCAGGGTGGTGGATGTTGTACTTATAGAACATTGCAAAATATATAGACATTGGTTATAATAATAAATTACAAGTAAGCTTTATGTATTTCTTTCAGCTGACAGTGTCAACATACGGCTGATCAAGAGCCTGATTCCTAATGACAAGGTGACAGCAGAGTCCTTCCTCACAGCAGTCTCTTGGATGTGTACCAATAAANTATATATATATATATATATATATATATATATATTGATACTCATAGTTTATGGGGAAGAGCCCTAAGAGTCAAGGTATTGTGTATATGCATGGCATAGGAGATTCCTCTAGATTTAGTAAGTATTGGATACAGCTATATGTCAGGGTGGTGGATGTAGTACTTATAGAACAGTGCAAAATATATCTATATCTATTTATGATAATAAATTACTAGTAAGCTTTATGTATTTCTTTCAGCTGACAGTGTCAGCATTCGGCTGATCAAGAGCCTGATTCCTAATGACAAGGTGACAGCAGAGTCCTTCCTTACAGCGGTCTCTTGGATGTGTACCAATAAGCCTTCATCTAATGTACAGGTATGCCTTCTTCATGTCTTATCGTTTATATCCATATTATCTACGCATCCCACAGCTTTTGTTTTGATTTCACAAACACTTATAACAGGTCACCGTCAGTTGTTTAACAACCCCTGTTTCTGCTCCACCTCTAACCCACCCACACCAACCTTAGGGATCTGTATATTATATCCTTGGTCTTGGTAATCAAATGTGAAAAGCAAGGCTGGGATACAGGCATGGTGTGGTACCTAAGTCTCATATAAGGGAAGGGATCTGAAAAGTGTGATTTGTACCCATCCTGCCCTGAACATTCAGATTTTCCTAAAATTGAATTTTCACTCAACTAGTTCCTTGAAATTGCCAAAAAAACAAACTTACGTCAGAACCACATTTCTAGTATAATCTGATTTATTCAGAAATGCAAATATTAGGGTGGTGTTTTTATGCTATATAGAGCTGTCTTTTTCGCTTGCATTTTTAGGTTTTAATAAAAGTCCACTTTCATCACACTGACTGTAAGCATTTTTGTTCTTTATTTCAGTCTATGTTGATACGGTGGATGATCATCGTCTATGACCTGGTGGAGGAGCAGCAGAAGGTGCAGACTCTGTATGGAATGATCTTCTTCTTCACTGAGAATGAAACTATGGTATGTAACAATAGGTCTGCACTGGAGGATCAGGGGGTTTGTGAAGGGGGATGGGTGCAGGGATAAAACAATGCCTGGTATTGCCTGGGAATATATATATATATATATATATATATATATATATATATATATAATATTACTAGTACTTATACAGTTATTTACTGGGGGTAAGGGGGTAAGGAATGATATGGGGTCCATGCAAAATATCTATATTGGGCTTGGTGTCATATCCCCCAGTTAGTGACTGCAAAATGAATTTATCCCTTACTTTCTCAGTGTCTTAGCTCCATGTGATGTTTTTAATGATTTTCAGCCGCTATATTTGCTATCCTTGGAGGGAAAGATGTCTTAATGTTTTGAATCCGTATCTCTCTAAGCCATATCTTCTATCTCTTTAGTATTATGTCAATATATAACTCTTTATGTTTGTCATATGTGTAATATTTATATATTTATTATATTGCAGTGTCCACATGTATGCCAGCTGCTGTATCTGATGACCAGGAAGGAAGATGTTCGCATGTTCAGGATAAGGCATCTGCTCAACTTGCAGCTCAAAATGGTAAATTACTGTGAGTTATAATACTGAGAACGAAAATAACCTGAAGACTTTTGAGGTATTGTTGCTGATATAGTGTTTCTGTCAAAAGAGGTACTTTTTTATTGTACATCAAATGTAAAATGCAGAAAATATACAGGCATCCACATTTCCTCCCACAAATAATAATTAAACTGCTTGATGGGAGTCTTATATTTTTAGCAAAACTGACATAAAATTAAATGTAAGAAACAACTTTTAATTCTCTCTAGCACACTCGAAGATAAAAATTATCTTGAAATATCAACAGATTTTAAACCTTATTACTACTCCCCATATAAATATAGATCTCAGGGTTAAACTGGTGCCCCTTACTTGATGAGCCCATTGTTTCACTTTATCCATAGTTTCTTAACTATTTCACAATCAATGAATACATGCTTGATAGTTTCTATATTTGTTTTACAAAAATAACCGTCAGGATTATAAATCATTTTACACTGAAATGGAAGGCTCTTATTTTCCCAGATTCTATGACTTACTGTATTATTAAACCATTTAAAGCTAACTTCATTTATATTAACAAGTAAGTATTTGTAAGTTTGTTGCCATAATATTCTAACTCCCAAATCTCTTTCCATTTTTGTTCACTTTTCAGAGTAAGGTAGAGATCCTTTACAAATATATCATTTGCACCCTTTTAAGTCCCTACTAGTACCATACATAATGTTTAGATTGTGCATGGTACAAGAGGCAATGATAACTTTACAGTTGCATTCAGAGACGTGTGGTTCTTGGATCTTGCAAAGTCCAATTTTTGAAGAAATACAAATGGGATACAAAACAGAAATAATTATACATTTTTAAATTGAAAATTATACAACATTTTTAAAGTGAAAAAGAAAATATTTACATGATAAAAGTATCATAGATAAGAATATATATACATATATATATATATATATATTTATATATATTTATCATTAAAAGACCTGTTTATCTTATTACATCAAAAAAATTAATATCACAATATATTTGCAATTATAATTCTTTGTAAGAATTTATTAACAAAAACAAAGAATTGACACAGAGAAACTAACAGGCCCAAAGTACATAAAAGATATTACTAGTAACTTATACTAAACCTACAATTGACTGTACATAGTACAAATTAAAAAAAAAAACTAACATACTTACAAAAAATTTAAATTGATGAAACACCTTCCATACACTTTGAGCTATGACAATAATTTAGATGGAGTATTGTGCTTATAATTTGGCTTATATCATAAACAATCTCAAGAGATTATAACAAAAAAAAAAAAAAACTTTCTAGAAAAAAAAAACCAGGGACTAACTTTGAATGTGAAAATGGATTCATTAACCATTGGTAAGTATGGGAAAATTGTTGTTTACTCCAGAAAAATTCATTTTTTGGCCAATACAAAGAGTTATTATCCCTTTAACTTTCACATATTATCTACCACTTTTAATTCTTGTACTTCACAAAAGACTTTGCTGTTATATTTCACCTTCATCCTCTGGAAAAATGCATGGGAAGCATTTCACACAACAGTGGTTCTGGAACTGATGGAGAAGTCTCTCATTTCTGCGTTGGTTGGCTTCAGCTCTGTTGACTTCTTCTAAGTGTTGAACTTCTAATTGGTGAACTCTCCTTTCAAGTTGAATGACCAAATCCTGTAGCCTGGCAATATAAGCATCTTGGTAAAAGAGTTTTCCTTCATCTTCCTGTCGTTGAAAGACCAGTTGTCTATTCAGTTCAAGTACTTCGGTAAGTTGCTTGGACAACGATTTCATCTGCTCTTTTATCACCTGTACTTCACTTTGCTCAGTGCCTTCCTTATCACACATACTAGCAGATGCATCAGAGGGCACGTATGGCTCTTTAACTTCAGTGGCTGAATCTAGCTCCATTGAGCCACCATCTGTACATTCAGCAACTGTAAAACAATTGTTGTTTATGCTTTATCTTATGACTGAGCTTTTAAAAGTAGTTTGGACTCCTAAATTTGTTTAAACTTAAGATATATCAAGTATGTCTTCTTGAGATATTTCAAAATCTTTTGCTTTACACTGCCTTTAAAGGAAAAAAAGGTGGAAATAGATTTTGGGCTCAGTTTATTGGCACATGATTTCATAGGCCATATTCAAAATTGCAACTTTTTCCCTTTATCTAGTGTTAATATAGTACAATTTATGGAAGTTGAGGTAAGAAAGAAGGAGTCAAAGAAGATAATTAGGACAAAAAGTAAAGATTTCCCAGACTTTATAGGTTCTTGTATAAATTTCATTGATACTGATGGGGATTTACCTGGCACTGGCAGGCTTTGTTCAACACTTGCGGCTGCCTTATCAAGATCTTGTTTGAGAGGTTCAGCAACATGTGGGTAGTCTTCCATTATGATGTTCACAAAGGTGTACAGAACCTCTTCAGTTCTGGGCAGATTTTTTACCACTGCCAGGGTTTTTTCTGCTTCTGTTTGACATTTCACCTATTAAAGAGTGTTAACAAATTAGTGATATAATAGATAAAATTGTGAATGCTGTAGGTCTCCATCAGTTCCTAACCTTTAATGACACTGATTGCTCTCATGAATAAAGAAGAAACTATTTAACTAAGATCTACTCTGGGAACATTTCTGAGGACATTTCACACACCTGTAGTATTTCATATCCTTATGGATCAATAAAAACCCTATGAATGTACATCTTCATTTTATTCAATTTCAATAAATAATATAAATATTACCGAAACTACTCCTTTCCTATTTTATAACATTTATTCCAGCATTCATGTTTGAAACATGTTAAGCATAAATTGTGGCTTATCTGTTTTTATGGATGGTTTAGAATATCTGAAATTTTATTGTGGCTTTTATTGCTGTATTTTAATCAATTTGATTTAAAAAAGGAATGTTGTTTTGAAATTGATCAATAAGTGTTTGAACTGTTTGGCACATTGCCCAATATTTGATTTGGCAATGTTCAGCCTTGGATACTTGTACAGCGACTGAATGCTTTCACTGTGATAACACATAGTGATCAGAGCAACTCATTCTTGCTTTCAACACCTGACTGTAAAATGTGTCCCTCTTGTCAATTGTGCCATGGCCCATTTGACTTTAGGATAGGGTAATGAAAAATAGAATTTTCTTCTCAGTGGAATTGACAAATATAAAGAGTAATGCTCACCAAAATTTCATCCAAGTGACCTTCAGTGAAAATTCCTGACTGGATAATAGCTGCATAGATCACTGGTGAAATCGTCACTGTTTTCACAATCTCTTTATAGTGCCCTAAAAAAGCGTTATTAAGGGCTTTCTCTCTTTTGGTGATATTCCTGGAAGACATTTTTCACCTGGGGATTTTCCTACCGATAGGGACTTCCCCCTGTCTCATTTTGGTTATTGCGGTCAATTGGCTGGGTCACCTTATTTACTTAGTGATACTACATAACATAATGCCCACTGTTTGTAATAGACTAGCTATGGTACAGTGTTAATAACTAGTATACAGTGTCATCGTGGGAAAAGCAGATTGATTTCATGGTTAAATTATATACAAAAGTGTTTTGCGATAAAAAACGGTTTGTCTTTTTTGTTTGACTATGCAATATCTTGAACAGTGTGCTTAAGCTCACAGTCATTTTTATGTACAGACACAGATGTGTCTGTACATATTGCCATCACCTGCGTCTGTCGTCGCCGTCGATGTCGCCGTCGCCGTGCACTTTCATCGTTAACACGATAAGTGGAAGACAGTTTTACTTTTTGGCTTTATATTTACAGAGCTGATGAATATTCATAAAACGCAGGTCAAGTTCGAAAATCAGCATGTTTGGGCAATTATTGTAGTATTTATGCTATGTTTTCACTTTTTAGCATATATGCAACACTGTTAACACATTTCAAGGAAAACCGATAGGCCTGACGCAGATCAAGTTCGAAAATCGGCATGATCGGGCCACTATTTTATTAGTTATGCTGTTTTTTTCACTTTTCAGCATATGTGCAACACTGTTAACACATTTCAAGGAAAACCGATAGACCTGTTGTCATGAAACTCACAGGAGTAAT